AAATATACGAACGGTTTGATATTATTAATAAAATTTTACAGAAGGCAAAAATCAAAAATAGTTTTTGTTCTAGTATTCATAACAAACAATTATAAATAATAAAATAAATTTTTAGCTTCTTTTTCTTGAAATACGAGACAAAATACTGAAAGAGTGTCATCTTTGATTTTCAATCTTTTTTTGCAATACTCGTTATCTTTGTTTATGCTGTTGCTAATTAACAAACGAAAAATGGGATAATACTTAGAATCTCTTGAAGAGGATCTGAGGTAAAAATTCTCATATCGAACTTATTTTTAAAAATTTTAATTAAGCTGAAATAATTAGCGTTCGGATTTACCCCGGCTGACCCTACTTATATTATGTTCTAAAAATTGTTAGAATTTTCATTTTATGGAATTACATTTGTGAATTTTTTTCTTTTTTTTCACAGAAAATTATAAGATATTAAAATAAATTATTATTTTAATCCAATTTTGCTTATTTTAATAACAAAATGAATTAAAATAAGCAAAATTTGATTAAAATATACTAAGCGTTGTATATAGCTTATATTTTAATGCCTTTTAATTTTCTGCGTGTTATTTTTGAGATGAATTTTTTATTTCTTCAAATTGGTATTTTTGCAGAATAAAAGATTTTCAGATAATAGACAATAATTTTTATAAAACCGAAAATTCATGGAGAATTTTTATATTTCTTTCAAGTTTTATTTTACAGTCAATTCTTTTATTGTATAGATAAATATACAAATTTAGGATAAAAAATGTATTTATTATGGAATGACCCAAAGAAAAAAGGTTATAACTTTTAAGGAAATTACCGAATTCTTATAAAACTTGGTAATTATGTTTTTTGCAATAATTAACATCCATTAGAGGCAAAAAAATACAAATTTAGAAAAAAAGCGCAAAATTATTACGGAATGACCCAAAAAAAAAATTCAAAAAAAACTCTTATAACTATTAAAGAAATTAACGGATTTTTATGAAATTTTTATTTTTTTGTTCTTTGCAATGAATAACATGCAAAAAAAAATACAAATTTAGGAAAAAAGCGCAAAATTATTACGAAATGACACCAAAAAAAAAAAAAATCCAAAAAACAGTTATAACTAAAAAAAAATTAGAAATTCTGTTAATTGATTTTTCGGTTAAATAAAAATTCTGCAGAAAAATTAGTTTTCTGGAAATTCAATCAAATAATAATTCGAAAAAATGAAAATTCATTTGAAAGAATAAAATGAAAATTCTATGCAATGAAATTCTACCCAATAAAAATTCTTTAAAATGACCTGCTATTATATGTTAAATGAAAATTCGAGAATATAAAAATTCTAACATATAAAAATTCGAACAAATAAAAATTCTGTTTAGTGATTTTTCAGTTACCTTACATTACCTAGAATTACCCTGTATATTACCGTATTTTACCCTACATTACAATATTTTACCCCTAATTACAAAAAATTTACCCTTTATTACCGTACTTTACCCTTAATTACAAGAATTTATCCTTCTTTACCGTACTTTATCCTAAATTACCATAATTTACTTCGTATTACCATGGTTAAACAGTAAATTTTCCTACAGTACAATATTTTACCCTTCATTACCATAATTTACCCTGTATTACCATATTTTACCCTATATTACAACAATTTAACTTAAAGTACAGTATTTTACCCTTCATTGCAAAAATTTACCCTATTTTACCGTACTTTACCCTAACATTGCCTGCTATTTAACCTATAGGGTATACTGTAGTTTATTCTAAATTAACATAATTTACCCTACAGTAATCTACTTTACCATAAAAATAATTTACTCTTCATTACCCTATACTATATGGGTCATTTTACATGAAGTGGACAACCCCGATTTTGATTGGTTTTTCAATATTACTTATAAGTAATACAATTTTATTAAAAATCTATTAAATGAAGAAAAATAGATGTGGATTTTATGAGAAATTTAACGTCAATTTTGATATTATGGTATTAATTTTAAAAATTAGATTAATTTTAACTTAAAAACGGAGAAAAATGGTAAAACGAATAAAGTAACTTTTATTATTTTAATAGTGAAATCTCAACTTCGACCATTTTTAAAATATTTAATAATATTGTAAATGATAGCTAAAATTTTGTAGATTTTACAATTTAATATACAAAATCTACAAAATTTTAGCTATCATTTACGATATTATTAAATATTTCAAAAAATTGTCGAAGTATATATATTATATCAAAAATTAATTTAAAATCTGTTCTTCATTTTTTGAATTTAAAATTATTAATCTAATCTTCAAAATTAATACCATAATGTCAAACGACATTAAATTTTACTATAAAATCCACATCTATTTTCATTTATTTAATGGATTTTATAATAAAATTGTAGAATTTAAAAGTAATATGGAAAAACAAAAATTCAAGTTTTTTATTTTTAAATTACTCAATTTATTTTTATAATTTAGGTCTTAATTAATGTGCTCTTTAATTTCATAATATTTCAATTTTTTTTCTATTTTTCTTTAAAGAAGCTTAAAATAAATTTTCCATTATTCTATAAAGTATAAACGATAATTTTCCATGTATTTTGAGGTTATGTCAATTAAAATTTTGGTCTATTCTAAAGCGATATTTAACGGTAAAACAGAAAAATAAATCTAGTTTTGTTCAATTGAAATTCCAGTGAAGCCGCCGACTTATGATGGACCCCGTGAGGAGGGGGTGTGAAGGACACGATGATGCATTGCAATGCTGCCCAAGATCGGATTTTCTAATCAATCGCATGATACCCACAAGTTTTGACATTAATTTAAAATATAATATAAATAAATATAGTAAAATACAAAAATAAATTATAATTTAAAAACGAATTTCAAATTTAATTTAAAGAGGAAAAACAAAAAAAAAAGTTTTTAATGAATTAAACGGAAACTTAGTAAAAGCTTTTGGTTTAAATCATAATTGATTTACTGCATTAATCTCTTTTATGTAATAGAGAATGAATATGCAAAAAAAAAAAAAGAATTTTTTCTAGTCTAGTTAGTTAGCATAGAATAGAAGTTGAAATGACGTAATAATAAAGCGCGCATTTTGAAGAAATTGTGTGAGTAAATTGCACATGTATATACATATATAAAAGAATATACATTCATCATTTGCGTTCATCATAAGAGTTAATTGTCGGTACTTGGAAACAAGCAACTCAACCAAGGATATAATAATACAATTCAAAAGAGAGGAGACGAAGGCAATCTAATTGAAATTCATACCATACATCGCGGGGCTTTTGATCGATTGCAAAATCTTTCACTCCAAAGAGACAGAGAAAAGAAGAAGAAAAAAAAATCCTTCCAATCAATCTTCCGCGCAATCTTTCGTTCTCAATTACTCCCCCATTTTTTTTTTAATTATATGTTTACGCAAAAATGTAAGTTTCTCTTAACGAGAAATCTCAATTTAACATAACCTACAAATATTCTTTTATAAAAATTACTCTAATTTTAACGGGACATAACCTTAAAAATTACCGTAATTTTTAAGTTAAAAGTGATATAACCTCTAAATATACTATCGTTTATTGCAAATAATGAAAAATTTATTAAAAAAGAAAAAAGAGAAGTAAAATTGAAATTTTTTTGAAAAAAAAAATTAAAATGCTTTTAAAATTCATTCGATTATTGTAAGAACTACTATTACTTTTGAAATTTAATTTACTTGCAAAATGCGTTTTTAAAATTCAAGGACGTGAGCAATATAAGAAAAATATGATTTTAGTTCTTGCAATTACAGACTTGAATTTTGATTTAAAAAAAATAAATTTACAGAATTCGTCAAAAAGTTGCAAAAAATTTAAATTAAATAAATAATAATAAAAGCGATCATTTATAATTAGAAATGTTTAATTTTAATTCCTTAAGTTCTTACACTTACAATTTAAAAAATATATATAATTTACTTTTAATGCAGTAAAAATTGTACTGAATTTATTCAAAAAAAATTCCTTTAATAAATTTAAATAGCAATTCAAATAAAACGTTAACTAATAAAATTATTCGAATTTTAATATCAATTAAAACTTTTTTAATTATCAAATTAAATCATTAACTAAATCTAAATTTAATTTAAATTTTTTTTAAATTTGAATATTAATTTAAATAAATCAACTAAATTTTATTGAAATAAAAAAATTTTAATATCAATTTAAATAAAGCGTTAAATAAATTTTATTCAATTCTTACTTTATTAAAAAAAAATACATCCTTTCTAAATATTGATTCAGTTATTGCATAAACTGCATAGTCCATTTTTTTAAATTTGTTTATTGCAAACGTCTTTACAAAAGCAATTGTAGCAATAAAAAAATAGTGAAAAAAATTACCTAGCAGTTTTTTTTTTGCAATAACCAATTCAAAATACAAGAACGTAAAAAAAATGTTTAATCAAATTTTTGACGTTTTCAAGTAAATAGAAAAAAATGAACTAAAATTATTAATCATGCTGTAACATGCAACCAAACACCAAACATGCAAAACGATTATTAGTAGTGTCTCGGGCATTAAAATATCCCACAAAAAAAGTCTTTTCAGTTTTTCAAACAATTTTTTTTTGTTGCCACATTTCATATTTATTTTAAGTAATAAATATTGAAACGTGGAATATAGAAAGAAAGTTTTTCTATATTTTTCCTATTAGGGGAATTTCTGTTATATATATATCAAAAATGATATTATCTATCAGTCATTTCTTTGTTGCATTTCTTTCTCTCTCTCTCTCTTATTATCTCTAACGTCTCATGATCTTGGTCCAGGGACATTTGCGTTGAGGTTATCGCACGATATATTCATTCGAAAGCAAAACGCTCTTTGAATACTTAACCCTCGTATTTTATCGGTCAAACAAGAAGAATCTCAAAGCTACTATATACTGAAATAATCTTTTTATATAATTAGTTTCGTATTTTTCTTTATCAAAAAAAAATAAAACTCACCATTTTTTTGCTTCTCTGAATTACTTCCCAAGGCCTGAAGTTTCTTCCATCCCTTTTTCCATATCATAGCCGCTTTTGTTTTCCGTTGATTTGCCTCGTAATTATTATTTCTTTGATTTAAAACATTGCCTCTTCTCAATGAACCAAGTCCAGAACTAAAAAAAAATCCTTTTATTAATTTACCGCTGGAATTTAAAAAAAAATAATAATAATAATAACTTACCGATAACTTGCACTAGAACTTCCACTAAATCCAGAATCTAAATCACATGCTATTGGCGAAAGTAGTTGATCAGTTGGACTCATATTACCAAGTAATTCATCAGTTGATGTATCCTTTTGATTTTCGACAATATTCTCAGTTCCCTCAATTGTCTTTGGCATCAGCATTTCTTCAACACTGAGATTTAATTCACCGAGAACACGTCGATGACGATATTGTACGCGTCGTACCTCCTCGTCAATTAATGATTGTCGTGAACCTCGAATCGATCGAGGACATTGTCGTCTGAAATTAAAATTTATATTACACAATAAAGGGAAAATGAAAATATTTTTTGAATTAACTCACCCAAGATCAGAAATTTCCTCATAAATATTTTCCTCAGTTCCATAACGTGTTACATAGGTATGCCTCTTTTGTGGATTCATTTGCCTCGTCACATATTGATTCGATTGATACAAATTTTGTTGATATATTCCCTGTTGTTGTTGTTGTTGTTGTTGATTAACGGGATATGTCATGTCGGTGTTAAATGGATTAGATATATTTCGATATGATGTATCAATTATATTATTATGGGAAAATGGATTTGTTGATTCAATTGGATAGGAATTATTAATTGCACTTGTACTTGGTTCATAATAAGCGTAGGAATAATCTTGAAATTGACGAAGTCTTGAACCACTTGGCAAGGTGGGAATCATTGATGATGATGATGATGATGAACAATTATCAAGATTAGAATTATTATGTGGTGGTGGATAGGATGGTGGCGGTGGAAATTCCAGATTTACCCGCCTTGGTATTGTCCCTAAATTGACACCTGTTGACATTTCTAGTGCCACGGGTTCACCACCTGCCTCTAACGAAATCGTTGCCATCTTTTTTTTTCTCTCTCTTTCATCCCATGGTCCCTTTGAATTCCCTCGGCATTCTTCTGTGACGAACATGAAAAATAGACATAAAATTAAATTCTTAATATGCGTCAAATATTATGCCTAATTTTCCACATTGAAGAAATGTTACAGAAAGTTTAAAGAATGTTTAAGGAACTAAGAACATTGTTAAGGGTCTGGAAACACGTGGTTTATGATTCTATTAACCTACCAATAAAAATTTTTCTAACTGCAATAACCAATAAAAAAAAAAAAAAAAAAAAAAAAACTAGAAACTAGGTTATAGAAAGATTCTTGAAAAGGTATTTTTCGTTGAAGGTCTAGGAAGATTGAGAGTCTCACGTGGCATATTTGAACGTTATATATGTCTTTTGATTAAATTATTGCAGTATCGAATGACAATTAAATCGTTTGGAATAATTTGATTTTTATCATTTTCAAAAGAGAGAGAAAGACAACTGGAAATAAGGTCTATTATGAGGTAAACGGTTTGATAATAATTCTCTCTCTCTCTCTCTGTCTTTCTTGTATTCGATTGTGCAACTGGCGCGCACTCGCTTATCAATTCCAATCAAACGTCATATATAAAAAGAACATTTTAAAAAAGAACTAACCAGTTTTCTAAACCAGCTTCCATCTTTGCCTTTTATTTCGAAACATTGATTTCTTATATTTATATTTATATATATATATATATATACATACATAAAATGGAACGGAAAAATCAAATTCCTTTGTGAAAACGTGAGAATCTCCATCTAATAATTGAAATCTCGCCTTCTTAATCATTCGGCATGCGAAATTAAATCATTATAATTCAACCTTCTACTTTCTAATTCGATGGAGTTTTTTTTTTCTTTTGCATATACCATAAGCGATTCTCTCCTATTTTCTTTAAGAGAATATTTAACTGTTTAACATAACCTCAAAAATTGAAAAAAATTCCTTCTATCGCCAAAAATGATTATAATATATAGCTTTTTATGTTCCAAACCAAAATTGTTTTTAGATCGCTTTCTTCTGAAATTAAAATCTCTCTCTCTCTTTAAGTGAGAGTGAGTCACTTGAAGACGACGCACTGATTATTTCATTTGCTTAAATGATCATTCATTGACTCGTATTATTTTAATACATCTGCGCGCTCTCTCGCCAAAGATCATTGTCCCAACAGGAAGCATTTCATTTTCCCACCATACAAAATAACCCAAGTTTCATTTCAATTTAATATATTTATATATATATATATAGTCACTGTATATAATTTACAGGGGAAAAAAAAAATAAATTTCCCTTCATTTTTAAAAATTAAAATAAATTTTTTTCTATTTATTCAATTTACTATATATATAATTATTTTTAATATTTATAGTAATTTAAAACATATTTAAATAAAATTTAAATTATATTATATTATTTTATTTATTTAATATTATATTTACAGTATTTTATTGTAATATCCAAAAATTTAAATTTTATTTTCTAGTATGCAATAAAAAAAAAAAAAAAAAATATTAAACAGTAACAAAAAGAAAAAACCAATAAATAACAAAAAAAAATAATAATAGTGAAAACAAAATAATTTTTATAAATAAGTAAAATAATAATAATAGTAATAATAATAATAATAATAATAATAATAATAATAATAGATAAAAATAGTAATAATTATAGTAATAACAATAATAAAAATAAAATAATTAATAAAATTAAATAGCAATGCTTATCATTTTGTTTTTTTGTTTTTTTATAAAGATTCCCTCTCGTATCAATGATAATAAATTCGTTAATGACCCTAATTTTTTTTTCTTGTCTCTCGACAATTAGTCCAATATAACACAAAATATATTATATATATTATCTTGAAAGACAATTTTTTTTAAATGTTTCGAATATTGTATGTTTTTTTTTTTTTTTTTTTTTTTTTTTTTTGATAATAATTATTAAAAATTCACATAACCAATTAATTATTGTTAAATAAAATGAAAAATTAAAATCGTTTAAAATGAAATACATTTAAATTACAATTTCTTCCTCTCAACAATGTATATATATATATATATAGTATATAAAATAATAAATGATTTAGATTATAATCTTGAATAAATTATAATATACACGTATATAGTTATATACAAAGTATATACATATATAATAATGAATTTATATATGAAAGTAAGCCAGGAAGTATTTAATTTTTGCGATAATAAATGCGCAACACACGCGAGAATTTTAATTATATATTTTTCTTTTGTTAAATAAATCATTAATTGAATTAAATGATAATTTTAATTATTTAACTGTTATAACATGTATAATTTAATATATCACATAGTATATCATATATATTATTTAATTTTTTTTTAATTCTATTTTATTTTTTTGTACTTTTTTTATTAATTTATATTGTTATTATTATTATTTATTATTATTATTATTAATTATTATTATTATTTATTATTATTTATTATTATTATTATTATTATTATTATTATTATTATTCATTATTATTATTATTATTCATTATTATAATTATTATTATTACGAATTTTTAAAAAATAAATTAGTTTATAAATTTAAATTGTTCTAACATAACCTATAAATTAATTAATTTCTAATTAAAAAAAAAAATTATTATAATTATTTAACAAATATTTATTTATCAATTATTTTTTTAAAAAAATTATTAAAAACAATTGAAACTTATTTGGAATAAAAAGCGTAAAAATTATAAATTCCTACGTAACATAACCTCAAAAAAAAAAAAAAATTAAAACAATTATTTACTAAATAAATATAAATTATTTTTGAAAAAAAATAACTATACTAAAAATATAATTTGAAAAATTCGGAAAAAATCACCTATAAATAAAATTACGACCTAACATAACCTATAAATTAATCTTAAATTTCTAAATTTCTAATTAAACAAAATTATTGTTATTATTTAACAAATATTTATTTATAAATTATTTTACAAAAAAAAAAAAAAAAAAAAAACTAAAAATAATTGAAAAATTCAGAATAAAAATTAAATTTTAATTAACATAACCTCAAAAAAGAAAAATTTTAATCAATTAACGCTTTTGAATAATTAAAATTACTTCAATCAAAAAATTGTTTAAAAAAACGGCACTGAAAACATTTTGAAAATAATGAATTATTCTAAATTGGTTAACATAACCTCAAAAAAAAAATTCAATTATATTGAATTATTTTAAATAATTAAAATTTACTTCGTGAATAAAAATCGTTCTTTTTTGACACTTAAAATACACTTTGAAAATAATAAATAATTTCTAATTTAATTAACATAACCTCAAAAATAGAAAAATCACAATAAAAAAAATTCTCTGAGCAAAAAAAAAAAAAAAACACTGAAAACACTTTCAAAATATAAGTATTAATAATTCTTAATTTGTTAACATAACCTCAAAAATATAAAAATCACAACAGAATTCTCCAGGGAATTAAAATTTCAAATTTAACTTCGTTTAAAAAAAAAAAAAAAAAAATTAAGAAAAAAATAAATATATACTTCCGCTCATAATCTTAAAATGGAAAAAGTTTTTTTGAAAACAAGATTTGGGGACCAACCGTGACAATTGTACATAGGTAACGGTATTCTCATTTTAGAAAAAAAAGCGTTTAAACTCACCTTTTTTTTATAATCATCCGTCAAAATTTATCTCAAGGCCTCAAGGTAACTCTCGATCTCCAGCTGTTTGAAAAAAATCCCTTTTTTTTTTTTTTAGGGAAACCTCTTTCGAGAATGAGTAACAGGACAAAATCGTTGTATATGTAATTTAACACCACAAAGAGATTTTAATCCTTTCGCTATTGAAAACTATATATATATATATTCACATGTTCACACTTATTTCCCTGACACTCACGTGTATATTGTTTTTCTTTCATTTCTCAAACACTATTTTCACTTGCGCAGTAAAAAAGCTTTTCTTGAAGGATCGAGAATCGATTTTCTAACCTTAAAAAAAAAAAAAAAAAAAAAAAAAAACGAAACACATTAAAAATATTCCGTATATTCGGTATATTCCAATTTCCAGCGAGAAAATAATATATATAGATTTTTAAAGACGCGAACAAACTGAGAAAGAGAGAATAAGAAGAAGATGAAGAAGCCGGAATGGATAAAAGAACTGTGTATATAGTCGCAGGTTGAAACTTGCTACTACTTTGGCTTTCTTAGATATATATATTATATTAAAACGAATTTCTCTCTCTCCTTCTCCTTTTTCACGAAAGACACAATGATTACAAAAAGGGGGGGAATTCGCGTCTTATTTTAATTTTTGTCACTTTTTTTATTTCGTTTTTTTTTTTTGAAATAGAAAGAAAGAAAGAAGAATTTCACTACACACACACAAACACTTACACTATATTAAGGCACTGCTTATTTTTCGTTTCTTTTTTAAATAATTAAAAACATGAAAAATTAATTTGTAAATCCCACTTTTATATACCCGCGTTAAATAGTTTTGCGTCCGCCCATTGTTATAATCAAAACGAAAACGATGAAGACGATGTCGATGGCAAAAGCACGCCCCCGACACACCGACCGGTCAACGATGGGTCAACAAGATTCTGTGTATATATATATACATATATATAAGCAATATAACCCTCACGAGAAAGAAAGCCTTCTTGTCTTGTGTTGGTTTCAGACTAGTTGCTTCGCTCTTGTTTTTGGTGGGAGAAAGGTGGTAGTCGCGTAGGAGGGGTTGGAGGGGTGGGGGTGGTAAATATAAGGGTAACACGAAAAAAACGGAATATTACAAAAAAAACGATAGATAATAATAATAATTTTTCACCTTTTTTTTATTAGAGTTTCCAAAAAAAAAAACAAGTCTTCTCTGCGAACGATCAGATTTAAATGACCCATGTCGATAAAATAGGAATTTTATCTATCGGAGTATGTTAAATTTTCGCGCGCTTTTTACCGTAGAAGTATTTAAAAGGTTATGGTTGCCTATTGCCAGGCGCGATAAATGAATTTTTCTTGTAATTCAATTACTATTATTATATTTCAATTATTACTAATATATTATTATTATTATTATTATTATTATTATATTACTATAAATATGTAAATTACTTTTTGTTTATTCTGTAAAATTTTATAATTGTTATTATCACAAACACTAAAATTGTATAAAACTTGTTTTAGTATATAGAGAAGTAGTCTATTTTCAGGGGTAAATGAGTATGTAATATTTAATTTTAAGGCATAAATTCATTAAACAAATTGCCTAGGTACAGGCGCAAATTAAAAAAATTAAAATTAAATAAATAATTCAATTAAATAATTAATTTTTATAATAAAATTGAATAATTAATTAAATAATTAAACATTAAATTACTTCTATTAGCAAAATAAAATTAAATAATGTTAATATGAAATTAGTATATAAATAAAATAAATTAAAATGAAAACAAGGGCCGAATGTGGCCTTAATGAAAGAGAGAGGGGGAATTTCCAGTTAATTAATAAAATTATATAAAATGCAAATAAAATAATTAAAATTCAAACTTTATAATAAAAAACTAAGAAAATTTTAAGGTTATGTTCGCTTTTTGCCGAGAAATTGATCTAATTTTGAGGTTAAGGGACGAGAGAACTTAATTTTGAGATTAGTTTTCACCTTTTAAATTAATTTTTAAGCTTATATTCGCCTCTAAAACCAATTTCAAGGTTATGTTCGCCTCAAAAACTAATTTTTGAGTTTAAATTTGCATAATAAATTAATTTTGAGCTTATTTTTGCCTCTAAAACTAATTTCAAAATTACGTTCGCCTCTAAAAACTAATTTTTGAGCTTATATTTGCATCATAAATCAATTTTGAGGTTATGTTCGCCTCTCAAAATTTAATTTTATGGCGCGAGAAAACTAGTTTTAAAATTATGTTCGATTATAATATATATTAACTGGCAATTAATCGTAAAAATTATGATATAACTTTAAAATCTTTCATAGAGAAACAAACACCAATTTTTTTTTTCTTTTTTTTTACACACATGGCAAATAAAATATAAACATTTAATTTTTAAAAATACTTTTAATTTTTTTTTTACAATAATAATAATAATAATAATAATAATAATAATAATAATAATAATAATAATATTAGTAATTGAGACTAAAAAAAAAAAAAAAAACAAAACAAAAATTGTCAAATATTCACACGACGATGAGAATTTTTCTTTTTTCTATCTTCATAATACAGTCTTTTTCTTTTTATTCGATTAAGAATAATAATAAAAAAATTACAATTAAAGCACGAACAATTTTTTTTTGTTCAATCAATTTATATATATATATATATATATATATATATATATATATATTAGAGAAAAAAATTCATTAGAATTTTTCTCGTAAAAATTCTCATTGTCGTGTGAGTTAATTGATTAGGAAAATATGAAAATTGAAGAATTCTTATATAAATATTAAGAGAGAGAGAGAGAGAAAAAGACAAAGAAAGAAAGAGAGAGAATAAAAATAAAATCTTTGTGTCCGCATTTCAAAAATGATTTTTTGACGGCGGCAAAATTATGAAAAAAATTCAATTAACTTCAATATATCATACAAATGAGAATTATTTTCGTAATCTTGATATATTATTTATATATATATATATATATATATATATATATATATATATATATATATATATATATATATATATAACATCTGGGAATGCCTCGTCCTTTTTTTTTTTTTTTAATCACTATCAGATTCGGATTCTGAAAGTTGTAGATCGTCATTTAACATATTGTCCGCTTTGAAAATTGACGGTGACGTTAATTCATTAACTTGGCCTGAAAATAAATAGAAATTTTTTCAATTTAGATTTCAAAAAAGAAAAAAAAAATGAAATAAACAAAAAATAAATAGGGTCAGCCGGGGTAAATCCGAACGCTAATTATTTCAGCTTAATTAAAATTTTTAAAAATAAGTTCGATATGAGAATTTTTACCTCAGATCCTCTTCAAGAGATTCTAAGTATTATCCCATTTTTCGTTTGTTAATTAGCAACAGCATAAACAAAGATAACGAGTATTGCAAAAAAAGATTGAAAATCAAAGATGACACTCTTTCAGTATTTTGTCTCGTATTTCAAGAAAAAGAAGCTAAAAATTTATTTTATTATTTATAATTGTTTGTTATGAATACTAGAACAAAAACTATTTTTGATTTTTGCCTTCTGTAAAATTTTATTAATAATATCAAACCGTTCGTATATTTACCCCGGAAAATTGGAAAACCGGGGTAAATCCGAACGGTATTTTCAATAATTTTTTTTTTTACATCAGAGCCACACAAAATTCTTTTTATTTCATTACACTATTATTTTAACATTATAAAAGTACATAGAAAAAAGTTTTTCTTTCTATACGTATCCTCGTTAGTAATTAATAAGCGCAGAAACTTAATCTCTGTTCTCTCGAAGGAGTGTTTCAATTTTTTTGCCAAATGGTTTGTTGAAAAAAGTTTTTCAGGATCTTAATAAAATTTGGTATTCTACGGTTTTTGGAGTCGCTAATTACCAATTTGAAGTCAGTTTTTCAAAATTCAAAATGGCGGACGAGAATTAAAAAATTCATTGGATTCGCTCGAAAATTGTTACTCGGGGGGTTTCAGGGTTAGCAAATTTGATCATTTTTAAAAATAAGTTTTAGGATAGTCCGCCATTTTGAATTTAAAAAATTTCACTTTTATTTTTGTATTTACATTCAATTACTCCAAAATACTTTCTGTACCAAGTTTTGCAAAAATCCGTTATGATTTGATAAAGTTATTAAAGGTTTTAATTGTGTAATGCATTTTAATTTTTAACCTGTTTGATTTTTTGTATTTATATATGATGCATTATTACATAATAGGTTTATTATCGTATTTTTTTTTGGAGTTTTTATATAAGTTTAACAATTGCAATACTTAAAATTTATTTTCCCTAAGATTTTTCTGAAATACAGTGGCGTTCGTATTTACCCCGGTATTTTAGGAAAGTTGCAAAGTATCGAGGTAAATACGAACGCTAAGTTTCCTGCGATTGTAATTTATCAAAAATTTTTGCTACCCCATAAAATTGTTCTATGGAAGTAAAGTAACAACTTCATGCACCAGAATACCGGAAGTATTTTTTTTTTTTTAAAGAAAAAACTTATGTTATTGTTGAAACTTACTAAAAGCGTTCGGATTTACCTCGGTTGACCCTAAAAGAAAATTTTGTAAAATAAAAAAGAAATTGATGGAAAAAAAAAATTTGAATTATACCATTACGAGGTGGGACGATAACATTTTCCATATCCGATTCACTATCGGAACTGTCTGAACTTGAGCTACTCGACGATGATACACTGAGATCGCCTTCGATTTTTGAAAATTCCGATTGTTTCACTGGATTTTGTGATTTTGATGGAATTACCGGCGGCTTTGGCGCTGGTGGTTTAATTGAAAAATCATCATTATCAAAACCAATCATTGGAAGACTCGCGAGAGTCGATTGTGACGTTGGTTGAGCTGGTGAATTACTGCAAAATAACAATATATATTTATATATATATATTTTTTTTAATTTAATCGAATTTTCAATTTAACAGAATTTACATTCAATAGAATTTTATTTGATTCAAATTTTCTAAAATATTGACAAAAAATTTTCAATTCACGGAAATTCAAATTTATCAAACAATTTTTCATTTCTATATGAATTTTTTCTTTTTTCCAATTGATAAGAATTTTAAAAGACGCCAAATTTTCATTTTGTCTGAAATTACAAAAATTCACCGAACAAACAATCGACAGAAAGATTTCGGTGCAAATTTTTTCAAAAAATTGACCAATAAGGAAAAATTATCAATAAAATCGTGATTGGTCTATTTTAAAAAAAAAAATTGCGCCCAAAAATCAGTTTTGTCGATTATTTTTTCTTCGACAATTTTTGTAATTTCTAGACCTCAGATCGAATTTAAGGGCAGAAAAAAGTCGATTTATATTTCAAAAAAAAAAAAAAAATCGAAAGTCGTTTTTTTTTTATTTTAACAAAATTTAATTAGCTAATAAATATTTTACTTTAAATAACTAATGTTATTTGGCAACACAAGAAAATTGTAAAAGTAATGTTAAGTTATGATATGGGTGTGTCGAGTGAACAACAAATGTTTATTTTATATTTAATTTTGTATTAAAACCAAATCCACTTCTGGGCCAAAAGGCTGAAGCTTAATAAATAAATAATACTAACTAATGTTATTAAATATTAAATTCATATTTCATTAATTCTGTAATGAGAATAATTCTATAATGAATATTATCAAGAAAATTTATTTTCAAAATATTTCAGAATCCAACTAATTGTAAGAAAAATTTTCAAAATTTTATTTAATAAGGAAAAAATTTCTAAAAAAAAAATTTTTAAAGTTTCCGTTTTTATAATTATTTCAAGTCTGATTTAAGCAATTTATTCGAATTAAAAATTTTGTCACAGTTTTTAGTTTTTAAATTTTTGCACAATAAATGAATTATAATTATAATTTTGAAAAATAGTTGAATTTTAGTTGATTTTTGAATTCAAATATTGAAAAATAAATGAATTTTAGTTGATTTTGAATTAAAATTTTGGAAAATAATTGAATTTTAGATGATTTCGAATTGAAATTTTGAAAAATAAATGAATTTTAGTTGACTTTGAATTGAAATTTTGAAAATTAATTGAATTTCAATTGTCATTTTGAAAAATAATTAAATTTTAGTTTATTTTGAATTTAAAAAAATTGAATTTCAAATAAAATTTTAGAAAATTATTGAATTTTAGTTGATTTTGAATTAAAATTTTGGAAAATAATTGAATTGTTCTTGATTTCGAATTTAAAATTTTGAAAATGATTGAATTTTAGTTGGTTTTTAATTGAAAATTGTTGAAAATAATTAAATTTCAATTGCATTTTTGGAAAATATTTGAATTTCAATTAAAAATTTTGGAAGATAATTGAATTCTATTTGATTTTTAATTGTAATTTTGAAAATTAATTGAATTTTAGTTGATTTTTGATTGAAATTTTGAAAAATAATTAAATTTCAATTGTAGTTTTGGAAAATTTTTGATTTTGAATTTTAATTTTAAAAATTAATTGAATTTTAGTTTATTTTGAATTTAAATTTTGGAAAATAAGTGAATTTTGGTTGATTTTGAATTGTAATTTTGGAAATTAATTGAATTTTAGTTGATTTTGAATTTTAAATTTGGAAAATAATTGAATTTTAGTTGATTTTGAATGGAAATTTTGAAAAATAAATAAATTTTAGTTTACTTTGAATTGGAATTTTGGAAATTAATTGAATTTCAATTGATATTTAGGAAAATAATTGAATTTTAGTTGTTTTTTAATTGTAATTTTGGAAATTAATTGAATTTTAGTTGATTTTGAATTTTAAATTTGGAAAATAATTGAATTTTAGTTGATTTTGAATGGAAATTTTGAAAAATAAATAAATTTTAGTTTACTTTGAATTGGAATTTTGGAAATTAATTGAATTTCAATTGATATTTAGGAAAATAATTGAATTTTAGTTGTTTTTTAATTGTAATTTTGGAAATTAATTGAATTTTAGTTAATTTTGAATTGAAATCTTGATAAATAAATCAGTTTTAGTTTACTTTGAATTGAAAATTTTAAAAATAATTGAATTTCAATTGTATTTTTGGAAAATATTTGAATTTCAATTGAAATTTTGGAAAATAAATGAATTTTAGTTGATTTTGAATTGAAATTTTAGAAAATAATTGAATTTCAATTAAATTTTTAGAAAAAAAAAATTGAATTTTTCTTGATTTTGCATTATATAATATTAAAAAAAAAAAAAAAATTAAAAAATTGATGAAAAAACGCAAAAAAAAAATATGACTCACTTTACTATAGGATTACTGGAAGGACTCTTCCCATGATAAGTTGACGCTCTAAATGGACTGTGTGTTTTTGGATGTAATTGAATTGGTTCTCTTTTTTTTCCCGTCGATACTTTTGTCCTACTATTATTTCTTCCATCGGTTGGATTATTTTTCGTCTCAACTGGTGTTATTGGTCGTGTTGCCGAATTTGGTCCAGGAACATTTAAATGAGACTGTGGTTTTGATTCAATTCTGAAAATGAAATTTTATTTTTCATTTCAAAATTCATTAATCAAAATTAAATAAATATAAATTTTTGATAATTACAGAAGAAATAAATTAATATTAATTGAATAAATAAATTTTTTGGAGAAAAAAAAATAAATTTGTTTGTTAAAAAATTTGCAAAACAAATAATAAAAATATATATATATTTTTTTTTAGGAAAAAAAAATATATATATATTTTTTTTTGTTTTCTAAATTTTGAAATTAAATTTTCCTTTTGTACCGTGTTTTTTTGACTTGAATATTTGATGATAATTTCTCGAGTGTTATTTCACCAGTTACATGATCAATTATTAAAACGCATTCTTTGTGATGTGGCCGTTGTGAACCTTTAAAAACAGTGTGAGGAATTCCTGCACCATCTAAATGTGGCACCGTAACAGTCATTGTATTATTTGTTCCCACATCGACCATTGCTATTTTCGAAACATCAACGCTCGCTGGTTTAAAATCATCTAAAAAAAAATGAGAGGGGAAAAGAGAAAATAAAATTGTTACTTTCAAAATTAGCAATTTTTTTTTTTATTTATTTATATCTTTTTATTATAAAAAAACAAAAAAACAAAAAAAATTTCCCTTAATTACATTTACAAAAAAAAAAAAAAAAAAAAAATTCCCAAAATATTAAATTATATAATATTTCTTCTTCTTTCTATAAAAATTAAAAATTAAAAACAAAAAATTATAAATCATAAACTATAAATTAAAAATTCTTTAAAATATTAAAATATTAAAATTTAAAAAAAAAAATAGAAAAATTAAATTAATCATTTTTGATTCATTAAAATAAAAAAAAAATTATTTTTAAAGATTCCAAATTTGAATTATCAAAATTATTATTTCGATTAAATTAAATTAATTAAACTAGAACTATTACCAAAAATTTATTCTAAAATAACTTTTGTCCATTTTTATTTTCTCTAAATAAAGAAATAATAATTTTTAATACTAATAATTATTTATTTATTTATTTGAGTTAACAGGCTAAAAATAATAATAATAATAATAATAATAATAATAATAATAATAATAATAATAATAATAATAATAATAATAATAATAATTATAATTATAAAAATTATTATTAAATATTCTATTTTTATTAATTTTTTTTAATTTTTCATGTATTTATTTTTTATTTCATTTTAATGTAATTTAATATATTAAAATTTTTAAAAATAATAAATAAATTTATTAAACAATGTAAATGTAATTAAAAAATAACAAATAATTTTCAAACAAAAAAATTACTAAAATTATAAATTTTTAAAAATTAAAAAAAATTGAAAATATTTAATTATTAATTAAATAAAATTAAAAAATTATTATTGTTATTATTATTATTATTACATTATTAATTATATTAATTAGCAATATTTAACCTAACAATATTAATTATTAAATAAAACTTTAAAAATAAAATTTATTTTTTTTTATTTTATTTAAAAATAAAATTATCATTGATCTTTGTAATTAATAATTAATTAATAATTATGAAAATTATTAATTATTAATTTTACACATTAAAAAAAAATATATATATCACGAAATTAGTTATAAATGTTATAAAATTATAAATATATTTTATTATAAAAAAAATAATTCAATTTAAAAATAAAAAGAAAAAAGTAAGGTTAGGTTTGATTGAAATTGAAAAAAAACTGTTAAATTAAAATAAAAAAATAATAAATTTCTTCTTGTTTGAAAAATATTTTGATAAAATAAATATCTTCCCCCCCCCACCACCATTATAAAAACTGAGAAATTGGGTCAAACAATAATTATAAATACATTATTGTAAAAAAAAAAAAATTGTGAAAAATTATTTCTACACTATAAAGATTTCTTAACAATCAAAAATTAGGAAACAAAAATAAAACAATTAAGGTTACTTACATTTAACAGTGTGAAACGCAGTTGATTTATTATTCGTAAATGTTGGTCCCAATTTAAGTTCACGAACTTCACTTCCAAGTCCTAATCTTTCTGCCATTTTTTTTTCTCTTTTTTTTCTTTTAAAAAAAAAAATCTTATTTCCTTATGTTTCCCGAAGTAAAAGTCAAAAAAAAAATCACGACCGAATTTTATACAAAAAAAAATACAACACAATTTTTTACTTTTAAAAAATAATCATTTTTATGAAAAAAAAATTTATTTTTCTTTACAATATTAACATTCCAGCTGTTAAAAAAATATGTTTTCAAGTATTGCAAAGAGGGGAAAGTAAAAAATATGGCCGAGAAAATTTTCACATTTTTTTATTTTAGTTTTTGTTTGTTTGTTTGTTTTTTTTTTTTTTGTTTAAATTATTTTTTTGGAATAAAAAAAACTAGTGAATTTGTTCAATTTTTTGACATTATTAGCAAAGATTCCTTTTTTCGATGACAAAAAGAAGAAAAAAAATTCACAACACTATTTTATTGGACAATCGCGCCCGACGTATTGACCCCAATTTACATGACGTTTTCTCCGGTATTTTTTTTATTTATTTTTTTTTTTTTTGATAAATTTCAATAATAGCACAATGGAAAAATAATGGAAAAAAAATTACAGGATGGTGTTATTTATTATTTTTTTTTTTTTGGAAGAAGGAAAAATCACGTTTTTGTAAATATTTGAATAAGAAATACAAGCAAGAGTTGTAAAACAGCTGTTTGGATTTGACCTCGTCGCCCCCCTTGAAATTCAGGAGCGTAACTATAAATGTCAAATTGACAAGACGTCATTACACGGATGGATAAGTGACGCATTTTGTAATATATTAAACTGAAATTTCTGAAATGTGCCACGTAAGAGGCTGTGTCACATTTTAGAGGTTTCTATATGTAGTAAAAACTAGATTTTAAAGGTGCATTCGCAACCTTCCTGGAAAAAATTCGTCATTTCTTCCGAAAAGTTGCTTTTCTATAATAATTTTATTAGTTTATGGTGTAACTAGCCACGAACTAATAAAATTATTAAATAGTAGTATTTGTATATAGAAGTATTTTGTATAAATTAAAGTGGATCTTCCAAAATGTACCACATATAAGGCTGTGTCACATTTTAGAGGTTTCTATATGTAGTAAAAACTAGATTTTAAAGGTATATTCACAACCTTTCTGGAAAAAATTCGTCATTTCTTCCGAAAAGTTGCTTTTCTATAATAATTTTATTAGTTTATGGTGTAACTAGCCACGAACTAATAAAATTATTAAATAGTAGTATTTGTATATAGAAGTATTTTGTATAAATTAAAGTGGATCTTCCAAAATGTGACACATATAAGGCTGTGTTACAATTTAGAGGTTTCTATATGTAGTAAAAACTAGATTTTCAAGGTGCATTCGCAACCTTCCTGGAAAAAATTCGTCATTTCTTCCGAAAAGTTGCTTTTCTATAATAATTTTATTAGTTTATGGTGTAACTAGCCACGAACTAATAAAATTATTAAATAGTAGTATTTGTATATAGAAGTATTTTGTATAAATTAAAGTGGATCTTCCAAAATGTACCACATATAAGGCTGTGTCACATTTTAGAGGTTTCTATATGTAGTAAAAACTAGATTTTAAAGGTACATTCACAACCTTTCTGGAAAAAATTCGTCATTTCTTCCGAAAAGTTGCTTTTCTATAATAATTTTATTAGTTTATGGTGTAACTAGCCACGAACTAATAAAATTATTAAATAGTAGTATTTGTATATAGAAGTATTTTGTATAAATTAAAGTGGATCTTCCAAAATGTGACACATATAAGGCTGTGTTACAATTTAGAGGTTTCTATATGTAGTAAAAACTAGATTTTCAAGGTGCATTCACAACCTTCCTGGAAAAAATTCGTCATTTCTTCCGAAAAGTTGCTTTTCTATAATAATTTTATTAGTTTATGGTGTAACTAGCCACGAACTAATAAAATTATTAAATAGTAGTATTTGTATATAGAAGTATTTTGTATAAATTAAAGTGGATCTTCCAAAATGTGACACATATAAGGCTGTGTTACAATTTAGAGGTTTCTATATGTAGTAAAAACTAGATTTTCAAGGTGCATTCACAACCTTCCTGGAAAAAATTCGTCATTTCTTCCGAAAAGTTGCTTTTCTACAATAATTTTATTAGTTTATGGTGTAACTAGCCACGAACTAATAAAATTATTAGGTAGTAGTTATATATATATAGAAGTATTTTGTATAAATTAAAGTGGAACTTCCAAAATGTGCCACATATAAGGCTGTGTTACAATTTAGAGGTTTCTATGTAGTAAAAACTAGATTTTCAAGGTGTATTCACAACCTTCCTGGAAAAAATTCGTCATTTCTTCCGAAAAGTTGCTTTTCTACAATAATTTTATTAGTTTATGGTGTAACTAGCCACGAACTAATAAAATTATTAGGTAGTAGTTATATATATATAGAAGTATTTTGTATAAATTAAAGTGGAACTTCCAAAATGTGCCACATATAAGGCTGTGTTACAATTTAGAGGTTTCTATGTAGTAAAAACTAGATTTTAAAGGTGCATTCACAACCTTTCTGGAAAAAATTCGTCATTTCTTCCGAAAAGTTGCTTTTCTATAATAATTTTATTAGTTTATGGTGTAACTAGCCACGAACTAATAAAATTATTAAATAGTAGTATTTGTATATAGAAGTATTTTGTATAAATTAAAGTGGATCTTCCAAAATGTGACACATATAAGGCTGTGTTACAATTTAGAGGTTTCTATATGTAGTAAAAACTAGATTTTCAAGGTGCATTCACAACCTTCCTGGAAAAAATTCGTCATTTCTTCCGAAAAGTTGCTTTTCTATAATAATTTTATTAGTTTATGGTGTAACTAGCCACGAACTAATAAAATTATTAAATAGTAGTATTTGTATATAGAAGTATTTTGTATAAATTAAAGTGGATCTTCCAAAATGTGACACATATAAGGCTGTGTTACAATTTAGAGGTTTCTATATGTAGTAAAAACTAGATTTTCAAGGTGCATTCGCAACCTTCCTGGAAAAAATTCGTCATTTCTTCCGAAAAGTTGCTTTTCTATAATAATTTTATTAGTTTATGGTGTAACTAGCCACGAACTAATAAAATTATTAAATAGTAGTATTTGTATATAGAAGTATTTTGTATAAATTAAAGTGGATCTTCCAAAATGTACCACATATAAGGCTGTGTCACATTTTAGAGGTTTCTATATGTAGTAAAAACTAGATTTTAAAGGTACATTCACAACCTTTCTGGAAAAAATTCGTCATTTCTTCCGAAAAGTTGCTTTTCTATAATAATTTTATTAGTTTATGGTGTAACTAGCCACGAACTAATAAAATTATTAAATAGTAGTATTTGTATATAGAAGTATTTTGTATAAATTAAAGTGGATCTTCCAAAATGTGACACATATAAGGCTGTGTTACAATTTAGAGGTTTCTATATGTAGTAAAAACTAGATTTTCAAGGTGCATTCACAACCTTCCTGGAAAAAATTCGTCATTTCTTCCGAAAAGTTGCTTTTCTATAATAATTTTATTAGTTTATGGTGTAACTAGCCACGAACTAATAAAATTATTAAATAGTAGTATTTGTATATAGAAGTATTTTGTATAAATTAAAGTGGATCTTCCAAAATGTGACACATATAAGGCTGTGTTACAATTTAGAGGTTTCTATATGTAGTAAAAACTAGATTTTCAAGGTGCATTCACAACCTTCCTGGAAAAAATTCGTCATTTCTTCCGAAAAGTTGCTTTTCTACAATAATTTTATTAGTTTATGGTGTAACTAGCCACGAACTAATAAAATTATTAGGTAGTAGTTATATATATATAGAAGTATTTTGTATAAATTAAAGTGGAACTTCCAAAATGTGCCACATATAAGGCTGTGTTACAATTTAGAGGTTTCTATGTAGTAAAAACTAGATTTTCAAGGTGCATTCACAACCTTCCTGGAAAAAATTCGTCATTTCTTCCGAAAAGTTGCTTTTCTACAATAATTTTATTAGTTTATGGTGTAACTAGCCACGAACTAATAAAATTATTAGGTAGTAGTTATATATATATAGAAGTATTTTGTATAAATTAAAGTGGAACTTCCAAAATGTGCCACATATAAGGCTGTGTTACAATTTAGAGGTTTCTATGTAGTAAAAACTAGATTTTAAAGGTGCATTCACAACCTTTCTGGAAAAAATTCGTCATTTCTTCCGAAAAGTTGCTTTTCTATAATAATTTTATTAGTTTATGGTGTAACTAGCCACGAACTAATAAAATTATTCTAGAAAAGCGACTTTTCGAAATGCAATCAAACCCGAAAGGACAGCAACAAAACATTATTAATAAGAGAAAATAAAATACATCAAATTTTATAATCTTTATAGTTACTAACGCATATTTAAAAACAAAATGACATCAGTGCCAAAATTCATAATTGTGCTGCTTGCAATATTTCTTTTATTGCAACTCTTAACATCAACAGAAATTTCAAGTGAAAAATACTTAACATTTTTGTCATTTGGAATGTGTATTTACTTAATATACGAATTATACCAATTTAAATGTATGGAACTTATATTCCTTCAGAAATTAAAAAATACTGAGAAGTTTAAAAAACTACCTGAAACAATGGTAGATGAAAATAATAATCTAATTTAAATATCTGATAAAAACATTTTTAAAAAAAGAATTCTTCTATATTATAATTAAATGGACAAAGAAATTGAATTTTTTTTATCGATTAACAATAAGTGCAATAATAATGAAAATATATGACTATTTTTATTTCTCACATTGTTTAACGCAAAATGCTACGTTCCAAAGTATAGTCATGTAAACACAGCCTTACTATTAGGTTCCGTTTATATGACTGTGTTGGTTTCTATTTTCTACACTCGACATTTGTCATAATTCTCGTTAACTACCGCACTCTACTCTAGTAAAAATTTAGTGACTTTATTGTTAAAATTAAAAGTTACTAAATTTTTACTAGAGCAGGGGGCGATAGTTGATGAGAATTATAACAAATGGGGACAATAGAAACCAATCCACTCGCCATTTTTTTTTAATTCTCGTCAACTACCGCACTATGCTCTAGTGAAAATTTAGTGATTTTATAGTAACTTTTAAATTTTAACTATGTGATGTTTCTCTGTTCCATCATGTATTTTCTCCAATTATTCATTATCTAGTATGAAAAACTTGCTTTTAGCCACTAAATCCAATCTCACTTATTGAATTTCTTCTTCTTAGTTTTCACGCATCACGTATCTATTGTATATGTATATTGGCCTTATTATTATTATTAATAGAAAAAAAAGGCAATACTGCTAGCTTATGCTGGTACCCCTATTGCATACAGTAACAAATACAGATGAGAGACGTCATTTATTTTACTGTTTTTATAAGTTTAATGCAATAACTAAACTAATTTAAAATAATACATACATCACGCGTCAGCCACACGCCACATGTCATCCTCAATAGACAAGTGATGTACATGAAAAGGTCGCGCGCGAGACGGAGCCTATATTTATACACAATCTATTTGCATGACTATAGAGAGGGGATTTTTAATGGTCTAAGGGTACGGTCACAATGTCTCATACATGCTCTGTGGCAAAAACATTAGGCCAGTCACACTTTAACGAAATCTAGTGAATGTTTAGTAACTTTCTAGTAATTTCAATTTTAACTAGAAAGTTATTAAATATTCACTAGATTTTGTTGAAGTGTGACTGACCAAATGTTTCTGCATTTATGCACAGTGCATGCATGAAATAGTGTGACAGTACCTTTATTTATTGAATTTTTCGCTAGGAGCGACACCTATGTTACACAAGAACAGATAGAATCATCTATATCCTTTTCTAACTCATAGGAAAGAGAAAGATAGATTCTTGTTGTTTGAGGGTATTTTAAAAAATCTTGACATTACTATAATAATTTTATTAGTTTATGGCGTATACTGTAAACATATGCCACGAACTAATAAAATTATTATATAAAAGTGTCATAACTTTTTAAAATTTTGTACTATATAAAATAAAAAAAAAAAAAAATTGTCCCATTAGAAATTGGGATCTGAAATACTGCGATACGCCATCTGGTGAGAGCCTTGTTGTGGTGGCCATGTTTTCATTCCGTGTTTCTCTAACATATACAAAAGAAAGAGATAAAAAACCAAGATGGTTGTCACAAGAAGGCTCAGGGGTGGGTCAGTTTCGCGTGATTTCTGATCCCAATAGGTGTATAAATTCAATAATATTTTTTTGTTGTTCTTAATAATTTATGTATACATATAATATAACAATTTTTCATATAGAAACTTTAAATTTTCAAATTTTATATTTAACATGATCCAAGTTTCAAATGTGAATAAGGTAACTGAAAATGAATGTGCGTAAATCAGTATCCATTTAACTAACTGACTCATTTATTTCTTTTTTTGTTACTCTATTAAGATTATTTTTAAAAAGTTGTTACTTCTTTCTCTTATTAACACAAAAAGTTAATTACTTAAGTAAAATAGATAAATATTCAATTAAATAAATACTATCCTTTCGATGTCACATCATTTGGAACCCTTCTATAATAATTTTATTAGTTCATGGCGCGTATGAGATAGAAAAGGACAAAACTACATCGCTGTCCTTCTTTTTCTCATGCATCAGGCCACGAACTAATAAAATTATTATTGAATTATCACGACTTTTAAAAATATCGCCAAACCGGAAGGACAGCATTTATATGCAATTGGACATTATACATTTAAATATCACAACTTAATTTTTTTCATAATATTAATAAGAGATAACATTATAAAAATTTTATATTGGCATATCTTATAACAACTAAAATATGATACACGAAGTTATAAAAACTATAAGTGTAGCAATAATTTTGTATTTATTCATACTTGCATACCAAGGGAATACAAATAAAAATATATTACATTATATGGTAGCCTTTCTGACTGTTTTTGTTTTAACTACAATGCAGATAAAAACTAACTCTACTAAAAAAAATAAAAATGAAAATATGGAAGAAAATGAAAATGAAAATATGGAAGAAAATGAAAATGAAAATATGGAAGAAAATGAAAATGAAAATATGGAAGAAAATGAAGATATAAAAGAAAATGAAAAGAAAAAAGAAAATAAAAAGAAAAAAGAAAATGAAAAGAAAAAAGAAAAGGAAAAGAAAAAAGAAAATGAAAAAATAAAAGAAACTGAAAATGAAGAGCAAGAAAGTGAATATGAAGAGGAAGAAAATGAAGAGGAAGAAAATGAAGAGGATGAATATTAGACATTAGATAAAATATGTAAAATTTGATATATGGAGATAAATTAAACTTAAATAATAGAAACAATAGATAATTTTTTTTTATTTTGTTGAAAATGATTGAATTCCAAAGAATGTAATACAAAATTGGAAATCTCTACTGTAGAAGTAACTTAAACATTCAGTGAGTACTCGGTTTCCATTGCACCCTGTTCTAGTAAAAATTTAGTAACTTTATAGTAACTTTTAATTTTAAAAATAAAGTCACTAAATTTTCACTAAAGCAGGGTGCGATAGTTGACGAGAATTATGACAAATGGCGAGTGCGGATTTTGGCGCGTAAGGACAATGAAAACCAATCGTTTGAACTCAGTCATGTAAACTCAGCCTAATTTTATGAACCCTATTGTAATGAACAAAACGACAAAAAAAATTTAACTTTTTTTATTTATTTTAATAATATTCGAAAATACTTTTTTTCATTGCATTCTTTATCTATTATCTAAATTGAATTCTCATCTTCCTCCGTTTCAGATATTTGTTCCATAACCATTCCGTGTGGACACTTAATTCTGTTAATATGTCCATCAATTGAAATACTGAATTTTAAAATGAATTTTTATTCTTGAAATTTTTAATTTATTCAGATACACAACGCCAAAAAGTAAAACTTGTATTTACATGCCTTTTGCATATATTGTAGAAGTACCTTTAAGTTGAGTCAAATAGGGAGTTTTTTTTTTGGTTGGTTTCCATTGTCATCAAACGGCAAAATCCCTACTCGATATTTATCGTATTTCTCGTCAACTACCGCACTCTGCTCTAGTAAAAATTTAGTAACTTTATAGTAACTTTTAATTTTAACATTAAAGTTACTAAATTTTCACTAGAGCAGGGTGCGGTAGTTGAGAAGAATTATGACAATAAAAGTCAACCGTTTTTTTTTTGTATTATTAAGGTACTTCTACAAGGGGTCACATTTTCCACTGTAGTAAGATTTTAATTGGTCAATAGTTATTGTCTTCATCTATAATTTCTTCAGGCTGATTTTCACAATTTTTACTATTTTCCATGTTTTCAGGATCACAAATATTCATATTTCTAAAAAATTTAATAGTTTCACAAAAAATCATACCAAATAATACGGATTCCAAGAATATGCGACTTTTTCCTTCAAATATACTTATTAATATATAAAGAATTATTATTATAAACAAAGCGATTATTAATTTTTGTTTCTTGCTTGACAATTTGTGAATCATGTTTTTGTAAAAATAAAAATTACAAAATTGATTTTATATTTTCTCTTATTAATTAGAAATATATCATTATTATTGAAAAACTCAATTGTTTAAATTCTGTCCATCTGGTTTGATGACATTTTTAAAAGTCGTGATAATTTTATAATATAATTTGATTAGTTCGTGGCGTGATGCATGAGAAAGAAAAGGACAGCAATGTATTTTTGTCCTTTTCTATTTCATATGCGCCACGAACTAATAAAATTATTATAGAAGTATCACGACTTTTAAAAATGTCATTAAACTGAAATAATGTATTTTAATGTTTCATTATTGTGTCTACAAGTTGGTATAATATTGCATAGATATTTAGTTTACCGACTTATATATATATATATATATATATATATATATATATATATATATATATATATATATATAAGTGGCGGTAATAATATCTGCGCAAAATGTCCTGTGTCACATTTCGAAGGTCCTTTGCAAAAAAAATCGAAGTTTCGAGTAACTTCTCAACCCTGGCTGTAACCTTACGATAAAATTCAAAAATATATTTATATTATTTGTATTTTAATTTATAAATGAAATTCTAAATAAAACAAAGAATAAAAATTATTTTGTTTAAAAATAAAACTAATTTCTTTTTTTTTCCATAATCAAAAGAAATATTTTTTTTAGAAACTAACCTAACTTTAGTTTTTTTTTTATATTGATCTTCTATATATATGACAAAAAAAATGGAGGCTTTAGTTACGTGTCAATTATGAATTTATTTTCTATTTTTCACATTAATAATCAATTAATTCAATGTAAATGCTTTTAATTTACTATAGAAATTAGTGTAAAAATAATAAATAATTGTAATTTTATTATTTAAAAATTTTTGAATATATGATATAAAAGTATTTTAAAAAGTTTCATCACTTAACCTCAAAATTCGTTTGGTTGCTGCTGTCAAACATGTTTTGTTGAAAAAAAATTTATGTTTATTATAAATATATAATTACATGTTGTGTGGTTGAAAAAAAAACAAAGTGTTTAGTGATTGTTAAAAAAAAAAAATAAATGTAATTTAAATAAAAGAAAACAGTGAATAGAAGAAAGTTGACAATAAAAGAATTTTTTTGTGTGTTATTTCTTTCTTTTTTTTTTGTTTTGTTCTATTCGTAAATTTTTTTAAAAGTGACAAGTGATAAACATAGAAAAAAATCATCAATATGTTTAAAAAATTTAAAGATAAACTTGCCGAGGAAATGAAACAATCGCCAGCGAGATTACAAGCAGGAATGCAACAGTTAGCACAGGTTTTGTATACGATTTAAAAAAATATATATATATATTTTCTGTTTATTTATTTATATTTCTATATTTATTTGTTAAAAACAAGAAATAGATAATAATTTTACTTTTTTTTAAAAAAAAAAAAAAAATTACGAATATTTTACGATTCAATTGATAATGTTTTTTTTTTTTTTACGAATAATAAATTTTTCTATTATATTTATTTCAATTTTACAGTGAATTAATATTTACGAAATTAATTGATATGAATAAATAATTATATTGTCTCGTTTATAAATAATAATAATAATTATTATTATTTTTTTAAAATTTTAAAGAAATTCATCACAAATTCAAAAATTATTTTAAACTATTTGTCGAATAAAAGAATTAATAAAATTCAATAATTGTTTGAAATTTAAAAAAAAAAAAAAAAAAATTAGCAACGATAATTATTAAAAAAAAAAATTCTAATTCATAATCACTGGAAATTTCATTATTTGCAAAAATTTCAATTAATTTTAATGATTTTTTTTTTTAATATATTCTTTGAAAATTTAATTATCTGAAAGCATTTTTCAGTTTAAAAACTTTTGAAATTCAATTTTTTTTTATGTGTAATTTCTAATAAATTCTTTATCAACAGAAATCGTTAGAAATTTCTCTTATTATAATAATTATTTTTTGAAATTTAATACAATCTTTTGAAATTCAATTATTTTCAAAAATTTCAATTTAAAAGAACTTCTAAAAATTTAATTATTTTTTAAAAATTTACCATTTAAAATTGTTGAAAATTTAATAATTTCAATTATAACTCTCACTCTCTCTCTCTCTCTCTCTCTCTCTCTCTCTCTCTCTCTCTCTCTCTCTTTCTCTCTTGAAATTCAATTATCTTTAATGATTTTTATAATATTCTTCAAAAATTCAATTATCTAAAAGCATTTTGCAATTAATAAGATTTTTAAGTTGAATTTTTGGTCTGTAATTACTAATAAATTTTTCAATTATTTTCCAAAATATCAATTGAAATTAAATTATTTTCAAAATTTTAAATTCAAAATGAACTAAAATTCAATTATTTTCAAAAATTTCCATTCAAAATCAAAGAAAATTCAATTATTTTCAAAAAATTTTAATTCAAAATCTATTAAAATTTAATTATTTTTCAAATTTTCAATTTTTAAAATCAAATAAAATTCAATTCTTTAAAAAAATTTCAATTATTATACAAAATTTCAATTCAAAATTAATTATTATCAAAATTTCCAATCAAAAATAAACTAAAATTAAATTATTAACCAAAATTTCAATTGAAATTCAATGATTTTCAAAAATTTGAATTTAAAAGCATCTAAAATTTAATTATTTCTAAAATTTTCCATCGAAAATTATTTGAAATTTCATAATTTTAATTTTAACTCTCACTGGAAATTCAATTAATTTTCAAAAATTTCAATTCAAAATCAATTAAAAATTCAATTATTTTCCAAAATTCCAATTAAAAATCAATTAAAATTCATTTATTTTCCAAAATTTGAATTCAAAATCAATGAAAATTCAATTACTTTCAAAATTTTTAATTAAAAATCTTTTAAAATTTAATTATTTTCAAAATTTTCAATTCAAAATTAACTAAAATTTATTTATTTTCAAAATTTTTAATTCAAAATCCATGAAAATTTAATTATTTTCAAAATTTTCAATTCAAAATTAACTAAAATTCAATTATTTTCCCAATTTTCAATTCAAAATCAATGAAAATTCAATTATTTTTATAAAATTTTATCTAAAATTAGTTGATAAATTATTTTTAATTCTTTAAAATTTAATTATTGTCTGAAAATTAACAAAATCATTTGAAATTCAATTTATTTCTAAAAATTTTTGACTTTAACTATTTCAAAATTATTATTATTATTTAAAAAAAAAATTTATTTAAAAATATGTAGAACTTTTTTTTTTTAAATAAAAAAATCGACTTTTTTGTGCTTTTAAGTTGATCCGAGGTCTGTAATAATTATTTAAATCAGTAAATAATTTACTTATTATTATTTTTTATAATTATAATAATAATAATAAATTATTATTAAAATTTAACGTAACTAAATAATAACTCAATGGAGAAAAAAGAAAATAACGTGTTTTTTTTTTTAATTAAAATTTAGTACAATAATAATAATAATAATATACGTTTTATGTGGTTATGTTTTGATTATCTTTTATTTTATTTTCTTGGTTATTTGAATGTTAATCAATTTTAATTTACGTAAATAATGTGAGAAAAAATGGTTTCTATTCACTCTATTTTTTTTTTTTTTCTAAATTATTTCATTAATTTTAAAAGTAAAATATTGAATTGAATTTTAAAATATTAATTTTTTTTTTCGTATTTATTAATGAATTTTATTTGATTAAAAAAAAAAATAATAATTTTTTGTGTTTTATTTTTAGGCTGTATCGCCAGCTTTGTCAAATACGTCGATTCAAGATATTTCCGTATCGAATGATAATTTCAGTTTAACTGAAGAACTCGATGGTGGTTAGTATTTTTTTTCTTTCTTTTTCTTTTTTTTTATAGATTTATAAAAAAAGTAATTATTTTTTTTAATTAACTCAAAAATTTGGATAATATTTTTTGTTTTATTTATTTAATAATAAAGAAAATATTTTTTTTTTATAAAATTATTTTATTTATTTATTTATTAAATATAGAAAATAATGAAAATGAAGAAAACTTTTGAAAAATATTTTCATAATTTTTTGAAAAATATTTTCATATTTTTTGTTTTAAATATTTATTTTATTTTCTTTTTAATTTTTGACGAAATTTTGTTAATATTCAGTAGTTTCTCTTTTTTTTTTTTTTTTTATTTAATTTTAATTATTTTTCTTTCTTGTGTTTGGTGTTATTTAAAATAAAATATATATATGAAACTGTTTTTTAAATTTTCCATTTTTTTTTTTTTTTTTTTTTTTTTTTTTTTTTGGCAGAGACACCAAAAAATAGTCCAGCGAGACATGGATTTCAAACGGTGGATTTAACATCACCCACGGGAACATCTGCGGGTATTTCGCGTAGATCTTCCATCAGTAGTGTCACAAGCGATGCCTCGTCTCTGTTTCCGGTTTATGAAAGTCCCGGAAATATGTATCATTTACAGGTAATTTGAAAAAAAAATAACTTAAAAACAATTTTTCTTTTTTACTATAAAATTAATATTAAATTAAAATTAATAAAAAAATAAAAATTTAATTAAAAGTTAATAAAAAAAAAATTAATTAAAATTAATATTTTTTCAATGTTTACTAAAAATTTCTCTTGAAAAATATTTTTCCCCCCTTTTTTTTTTTTTTAAGAGAAATAGAGAGAGAATTTTGAAAAATAAAAATTTGAAATAAATATTTATTGTATAATTTTGTTTTTTAAAAATTATTTTTTTGTTTTTTTCTCGTTAAATTTCAGTCGGATATAGATCAATCGGCAAGTGAATTGGACGATATGGTGAGTCCACAACTTGATCGTGTGACAAAAGAACAATTATATTCAACTTATCGTAAAGTACAAACGAAATATCATAAATATCGTAGTCGATATACGGATCTTGCTGCACATTATCGTGAAATGGAGCGTGTTAAAAATAAATTGGAATCACTTTTGGTTGAAACACAGGACAAGGCATTGAGACGAATTTCCGATTTAAAGGAACAATGTCAACTTGAACAACAAGCGAAAGCACATTTGGAAGATGCATTGAGAAATGATATTGAGGAAAAGGATCATATTATCAATACACTTAATACAAAGGTAATATTTTATTTTTTTTATTTTCATTTTTCCAAATATTATTTACCTATTTTTAAAAAATAAAATATATTTGTTAAAAAATATTTAATTTAAAACAATTTTTTAATTTGTAAATTGCAAATTAATTAAATATATTTGTAATTTTATATTTGTAAATATAACAATTTTTATTTAAAAAAATAAAATTCAAAAAAAAAAAAAAAAAACGAATTACTCTTTACAGATAAGTCTATTACAATCAAATGGTCAACATTCAGATATGAAAAATACCGAAAAAATGGAAATGTTAATTGATTTTGCCACTGAATCATCACAAATAAATAAATCATCATTATCATCTGAATTAAAAAATGACGATTCAATTTTAACAACAGAAAATGTTCTTCTTAAAGATAAATTACAAAATTTAGAGAAACTCAATGAAAAATATAAAGAAATGTTAAAACGTAGTAAAGAAAAAATTCAACAATTAATAAAAGATAAAAATTTAATTGAACATAATTTTGAATTAGAAAAAAATGATAATTGTGAAAAATTGAAAGCACTTAATTTTGAAATAATAAAATCAAATGAAAAAATTCAACATTATAATGATGAAATTATTAATTTAAAAAAACGCGAAGAAGAATCAATGATTTCACTTGCTGAAAATAAATTAACAATACATCGTGAATTAGAAGATAAAGAAGAACAAATAAAAAGATTAACAAATGATTTAAAACAAATGTCAGAATTTAAAGAAATTAATGATAAAGATGAAAATAATGGGAAAAAAAATAATAACGATTCTTTAAAACAACAACAACAACAACAAAAAGAAGAAAATGACGAATTACGTATAAATGAAAAATTAATAATTGAATTAAATGAAAAAATACGACAACTTGAATTAAATTTAAATGAAAAAAATTCACATGAATTAAATGAATTAAAACAAGAATTAGAGAATAAAAATCAAATAGTTGAGGAATTTAAAAAACAACTTACAATATTTGAAACTAAAATTGAATCATTAAATTGTGAAAAACAATTTTTATTTAAACAAATTGAAATAGTGAGAAAAACAATATTTACAATGAAACAAGAATCAATAAATATGAAAGAAAATATAACAAAAGAAATTGAAAATGGTAAAAATTCATATGAAAAATTTTTTCACAATATTTTAGAAAATTTAAATCAATTTACCAATGAATATGAAAATTTAAAAAAATTATTTCAAAATAAACAAATAATTAATGAACAATTAGAAAATGAACAATTGAAATTAAAAAAAGAACTTGACGATTATCAACAACGTGAATTAAAAATAATTGACGAATTACGTCTTGAACGTTCAGAACTTGTTAATTTAACAAATCAAAATTTAGAATTACAAACAACAATTAATAATTTACAAATTAAATTAAATGAAAATAATAATAAAATACAAAATTTTGATGAAATACAAAAAAAACAATTGTCAATAATTGAGGAATTAAATTTAAAAAATAATCAATTTATTCATTTGGAAAAAGAAAATAAAGAATTAAAAGAAAAATTTAATGAATTAAAAAAAGTAAACGACGAGAAAATTCACGAATTAGAAATGAAAATTTCTAATGAAAAAGAAGAAAAAAATGTACTTAATGAAAAAATTGTTGAATATGAAAATAAAATTGAAAATAAACAACAAAAATTTGTGGAAATAAATAAAAAAAATGAAGAATTAGAATCAAAAATTATAAAATATGAAGTGAAATTAAAAGAATTAGAAATTGATAATTCACAATTAAAATTACAAAATAGTGAAACAATTGATAATAATTCAAAATTAAATGAATTATCATTGTTAATTGAAAAATTAAAATTGGAATTAAAGGAAAAAATTGAGGAATTAGAAAAACGAAATTCAGAAATAAAGAAAAAAGATTTGGAATTAAAGAAAAAAATTACTGATTCAAAGCAAAAGGATTCGGAGTTAAAAAAGAAAATTAAGGAATTAGAAATAAAAGATTTGGAATTAAAGAAAGGAGAATCGAAATTAGTGGAATTAGAGAAGAAAAATTTGGAATTAGTGACAAAAATCGAGGAATTAGAAAAGAAAATTTTGGACTTAAAACAAAATGAAACGAAATTAGTGGAATTTGAGAAGAAAAATTCGGAATTAGTGAAAAAAATCGAGGAATTAGAAAAGAAAATTTTGAACTTAAAACAAAAAGAAACGAAATTAGTGGAATTAGAAAAGAAAAATTCGGAATTTGTGACAAAAATTGAGGAATTAGAAAAGAAAAATTTGGAATTAGTGGAATTAGAGAAGAAAAATTCGGAATTAGAAAAACAATATTCAAAATTAGTGACAAAAATTGAGGAATTAGAAATGAAAAAATTGGAATTTGTGGAATTACAGAAGAAAAATTCGGAATTAGTGACAAAAATCGAGGAATTAGAAAAGAAAAATTTGGATTCAAAACAAAAAGAGAAGAAATTAGTGGTATTAGAGAAGAAAAATTCGGAATTAGTGACGAAAATCGAGGAATTAGTAAAGAAAAATTTGGAATTAGTGGAATTAGAGAAGAAAAATTCCGAATTAGTTACCAAAATTGAGGAATTAGAAAAGAAAAATTTGGAATTAGTGACGAAAATCGAGGAATTAGTCAAGAAAAATTTGGAATTAGTAGAATTAGAGAAGAAAAATTCGCAATTAGAAAAAGAATATTCGAAATTAATGACGAAAATCGATGAATTAGGAAAGGAAAAATTGGAATTAGTGAAATTAGAGAAGAAAAATTCGGAATTAGTGTCAAAAATCAAGGAATTAGAAAAGAAAAATTCAGAATTAGTGAAAAAACAATCGGAAATAGTGGCTAAAATTGAGGAATTAGGAAAGAAAAATTTGGAATTAGCGGCAAAAATTGAAGAATCAAAGAAAAAAGAATTGGAATTAGCGGCAAAAATTGAAGAATCAAAGAAAAAAGAATTGGAATTAGCTGCTAAAATTAAGGAATTAGAGAAGAAAAATTCCGAATTAAAGAAAAAAGAATCGGAATTGTTGTCAAAAATTAAGGAATTAGAGGGGAAAAATTCCGAATTAGAAAAAAAAGATTCTGAATTGATGACAAATTGCGAGGAATTACAGAAAAAAATTATGGAAAAAGATTACGAATTAAAGAAAAAAGAACCCGAATTAGCGGCTAAAATTAAGGAATTAGAAAATAAAAATTCTGAATTAAAGAAAAAAGATTCAGAATTAATGAAAAATGTCGAGGAATTAAAGAAAAAAGATTTGGAATTAGTCACAAGTGTCAATGAATTAAAGAAAAAAATTTCCGAATTAGAAGAAAAAGATTTGGAATTAAAGAAAAATAATTCGAAATTACAGGAAAAAGATTTAAAATTAACTGAAATTGTTTCCGAATTAAAGAATATTAAAGAATTAAAAAATTCCGAATTAGTTGCAAATGACGAGGAATTAAGGAAAAAAATCATCGAATTAAAATCAAAAGATTTGGAATTAATTGAAAAAATTGAGGAATTAAAGAAAAAAGATTTGAAATTAGTGACAAATTCAAAGGAATTAGAGAAACGTGATTTGGAATTAGAAACAAAAAATTCAGAATTAAAACAAAAAGATTTGGAATTATTAGAAAAAATTGAGGAATTAAAGAAAAAAGATTTGGAATTAGTGACAAATTCAAAGGAATTAGAGAAACGTGATTTGGAATTAAAACAAAAAGATTCGGAATTAATAGAAAAAAATGAAGAAATAAAGAAAAAAAATTTACAATTAAAGGATAAAATCACTGAATTAAAGAAAAAAACTAGCGAATTAATTGGAAAAAATTCTGAATTAGAAAAAATTACTTTCAAATTAAATGAAAAAGATTCAGAATTAATTTCCAATAATTCGAAATTAAAGGAAATAAATTTAGAATTAATTAATCGTGATTCCAAATTAAAGGAACAAGAATTAGAATTAATGTCAAAACATAAAGAAATTGAGGGAAAAAATTTAGAATTAAAGATGAAAATTGATGAATTAGTGAAAAAAGATTTTGAATTAAATTCCAAATTATCTGAATTTAAAGAAAATAATTCCACATTAAAAGAAAAAACAAAGGAATTAGAATTAAAAACAATGGAATTAGAGGGAAAAAATTCTCTTCTAATTAATAAAGAAGAGGAATTAAAAGCAAAAAATATTATATTAAATGAAAAAGTAATTGAATTAAAAAAATCGAATGAAAAAATTGATAATTTAACAATAATTAATGAAAAATTACGTTTAGATAATGATAAAATTAATTTGGATTTAGTGGCATTGAAAGAAGAGAAGGAAAATGAATTTGAAGAATGGAGAAATAGAATAAAACATACAGAAAAAATAATTTATGAAAAAGATGAAGAAATTAATTTATTGAGAGGTGAAAAAAATTTTATTGTCGATAATCATCAACTTCAATTTAAAAATGAAGAGGAAAATAATAGAAATATTAATAATGATAATGAAGAGACAATAAATAAAATGGCAAAATTAGAAGATAATAATCGTAAATTAGAAGCGCAATTGGACGAGGCATTAATTACATTTCAAGCGAAAGAATCACAATTACAAAGTTTAAATCAAGATTTAAGAATGCAAATTGAAAAAATTAAAGATGAAATAAAAGTTGCTGAAGTTGAACAGGGATTGAGATTAAAGCAATTGGTGAAGGAATTTCAGGCGCAACTACACGATAAAGATGAGGAATTACAAGCGGCTTTGGATAAACGTTTCGGTAATTATTAATAATTAAATTAATTTAAAATAATTAATTATTCATATGTCGAAAAATAATTTATTATTTATTTGTTGAAAATAATTTATTATTCATTTATTAAAATAATAATTTATATTATCCATTTATGAAAAAAAAATTGATTAATTAATTGAAACTAAAAGTTAATCCATTCATATAGAAAATAATAATTAATTACTAAATAAATTATTAGAAATAAAAACCTAATTGCTAAATTACTAATTATTTATTATTAACGATATTTTTGATTTATTATTTATTAAATAAAAAATATTTGCAACTAATTAATTGTAAATTATTATATTAGTTAACTAAATACTAATTAATTACAATGAACTAAATAATAAATTAATTACTAATTAATTATTAGTAACTAATTATTTATTTATTAACTATTAGTAAGTTATTATTTATTTATTAATTATTAGTAACTAAATTATTTATTAATTATAAATTAATTATTTACTAATAAAGTTTTAGTAATTAATTAACTACTAATAATTTTTAGTAATTAATTAATTACTAATAATTTTTAGTAACTAATTCATTAACTACTATTAAATTTTTAGTCACTAATTAATTAACTACTATTAAATTTTTAGTAACTAATTAATTAACTACTATTAAATTTTTATTAAGTAATTATTTAATTACTAATAAATTTTTAGTAACTAATTAATTATTAATTACTAACTGCATAATCAATTAGTAACAAAATTATTAATTAATTAATTACTAAAAAAAATGTTAATAACTAATTTAATTACTAATTAATTATTATTAACTATTTTATTGTTTCTTTATTATTAAATATTTGGAACTAATTAATGGTAAATTATTATTTGCCAACTAAATACTAATTAATTACTATATAATAAATACTAATTAATTACTATAAAATAAATAATAATTAATTACCAGTTACTAAATATTAATTAATTATTACTAAATAATTAATTAATTATTAGTAACTAATTATTAGTAAGTAATTATTTATTTATAATTTATTCATAATTTATTAATTATTTACTAAGTAATTATTTGATTATTTTAAGTAATTAGTAACTAAGTTATTAAGTAATTACTAATAAAATATTAGTAACTAATTAATTATTTAATAATAAATTTTTTAGTAACTCATTATTTATTTGTTTATTAATTATTAGCAATTAATTAATTATTTTAAAAAAAAATCTTATTATTTACTAAATTATAAAATACTAATTAATTAATAACTATTATTATTATTATTGTAATTGTTGTGAAATTAATTGAGAAAAAAAATTAATTAAAATTTTTTGGAAATTGTTTAGATCAACAACAAAATTATGAAACTGATCTTATTCAACAATATAAAGAGCAATTAAAAGATTTTCAAGTTGAATTAACATTGAAATCGGAACAAATTGAAAATCTTATTATTGAAAGTAAAGAATCGTCACAACGAAAGCAAAATGAAATTGATCAATTGTCCGATACAATTATAAAAATAAAACAAGAACACGTTAATGAAATGCAAGAAATTGAGAAAAAATGGAAATTAGCGGTGAAACAAAAATCAGAACAAATTGCCGCTAAACACGAAGAGGAAGTTAATGAATTAACAAAGGAATGGCAAAATGAACGAAAGGTGAGTGGAATTTTTTTTTTCATAATAAATAGATTAAAATTAATTATTGTTTAATTAAAATTCAAAATAGAAATTAATTAATTACTTAATTAATTAATTAAATAATTAAGTAATAAATTAATTAATTAAATAATTAATTAATTAATTAATTTATTTATTTATTACTTAATTATTTAATTACTTATTTCTTAATTAATTAAAATTTATATAAGTTAAATTTAATATTTATTTAATTAAAAGGAATTAAATTAACTATTATTCAAGTACTTAATTTTTTTTAAAATTAAATTATTAATTAACATTAATTATATATAAATTATCAATTATAACTGAAAAAATAATTTTATTATTATTTTATTTTTCATTATTATTGTTTTTCTATTTTTTTTGTTTATTTATTATTACTTTATTTATTTATTTTCATTACCATTATAAATTATTATTTTATTGTTTATTATTATAATTTTCTTTGCAGATCAATAATTCTAATAGCGAAACTTCTCCCGAGGTAACAAAACGAATTAATTTTCTTTTAATTATCCCTTCAATTTTTTTTTTTTCAATTTCATTTGATCGAATTTTTCTTTTTTTAAAAAGTTTTTTTTTTAATTTGTTATTTTATTTATTTATTATTTATTTATTATTATTTCTATTAATTAAAATTTTCAATTTACAAAATTTTATTGTAATTAATTATTATTATTTGTTTAGACGAATTTGCAAATTTTAGAGAATTTTATTGGCATTAATTATTATTGAGACGAATTTTTAAATTTAGGAATTAAAATTCAATTAAATTAAAAAATTCATGTAAAGAAAATTTAAATTAATAATTTAAAAAAAAAATTTTTTTTTGAATAATTTTACAATGTTAATAATTGAAAAATGTTATTAATTGAAAAATTTGAATAATTAAAAAAAAAGTTTTGACTAATTTGAAAAATGTTTAATAATTAAAAATTATTGTAAATATATATATATATATATAAATTAATTAATTTTTCACAGGAATTAGAAAGTACTTCGCGATTAGCAATGGCAGCGGTACAATCGAATACGGGCTCATTTCATACATTAAAACAAACATTGGCATCACAAAAACGTGAATTATCGGAATTAAGGAAATTAGTGAAAATAAGACACGAGGCACTTGAGGATTCAACTGAAATTGAATATCTTAGAAATATTTTATTTGAATATATGATGGGACGTGAAACATTAGTTCTTGCACGTGTTATTTCTGCTGTTGTTAAATTCGATCAGGAGCAAACAATGAAAATATTGAAAAAAGAAGAGGATAAATTAACATTGGTGAGTTTTGTTGTTTTTTTTTTCCAAAAATTAATTTTCCTTTTTTTCTAATTTTATTTAATTTAGAATTCAAAAATTGCAATTATTATTGTTTTCTTATTATAATTATATATTATTGCAACAATAATTTGCAAATAATAATAATAATACAATAATAATTTATTAATTTAAAAAAATAAATAATTTACTATATTAATTAAATATTGACAAAAAAAAAATTTTTTCGACTTTTCAGCTTGGATCGTTTGGTTTAACGTAAAAAAAAAACAAAAATGGAATTTAAAAGGTTAAAAAAAAAACTGCCGGTATATTTCAGCAGAGTGAAAAAAATTTAATTTATTTAATTTTGAATTAATAGAAAATTAATTGCATTTACGATTCCATTTTAATTATAGAAACACAAAAACACATAAAAGTCCAACAAAAAAAAAAATGTAGATGTATATAGAAATAATTTTACAACTAATGGTGAGAATAATGTGCAATGTAAAAAAAAAACAAGAATAATATATATATAGTTATAGATTTTTACGTTGAACAATTTAAAAACAAAAAAAAATATAAGAATAGGGAAGAAACATTGTAAAATTGTCCTTTAAAAATTCCGCAAAAAAAAAATGGACAATTTTTGCAAAAAAAATTTAGATATTTTATGTTCGAAAATAATTGTATAATTAAAATTGTATATATATATATATAAGGCTGTAATTATTTTTTCGCTTTTAAATATGTTATTAATAATAAATAATATGAATCTTGTATTGAAATTGAAGTTTTCTTTTTTAATTTAAATTTTATTTATTTATTCTTATTTGGTTTGGAAATTTTTTTTTTTTCTTAATTGTAGAATATTCATGTAATTTTATATTAAATTGAAAAATAATAATATACGAAAAAAAAAAACAATTGTAGGAAAAAGTAATTCAAGGGGCAAAAAAAAACACAATTTGTTTAACATTTTTTCTTTTATTCATCACTTTAGTAAAATAAAGTGAATATTCAAATACAAATAAAAATTATTCACAGACTATAATAATGGAAAAAAGAACAAAAAAAAGAAAAATTTATTCTTTACTAGTTTCTTTATTAGGATGTAAAATCATTTCAAAATATTCTTTTCTCTCCGTTATTGGCACTGATTTTATTCTAAATGAATATTTTACATTTCCATCTTTCTCATATGTTTTCTCACCATATTCATCGAGTAATTGACGTTGTAAAATATTTGACGTCAATAATTTACTATAATATTCATGGCCACCATTTAAATAATCATTATTTAATTTTGCCAATTCAGCGTCAATATTTCTCTCTCTTTTTTTGGAAAAAAAATCCTTTTGTCCAAAATAAATTATATAACTTATAAAACCACATGCTATATAAAGTAATATACGAGTTGATAATGATTTTTTATAAAGATGAAATTTTTCTTTAATATAATATTGTACAGTATAATTTATTAAAATAATAACTGCCGCTAAAAATGCATCAAATGAACGATATGAATCGCGTATTGTTAATAATTCACGTGCAATGGCAAATTTTTTTGCCTCACGTGATAATATTAATGATTCAGCTAAATCCTCTGTTTCAAAACGTGTTATATCAATGGGAAATTTATCAATTGCAATTTGTGGTATTTTCACATCAATTAAATCATCATATGTAAAATGCCATGGTATACCAATAATTGCGCCATTTCTTGAATCTAACATACCAGCATTGAATGGCTTAAAACGACAAACAATAAATGATTTAATATCGTCACGATCTGTTTTATCGAATTTTAGATCATCAAAGACATCGTTGACGAGATTTTTTAATGATTCAGGCATTTCAACTGGTTTTTTTCGCCTTGAACATAAAAAAAAAAAATTAAGTGGATCAATCCAACAATTTTTGGAAAAAAAAAAAAATTTAGGGACAGCAAAAATTTTTGCGATCATTTAAGGTGAAATAAATAAACTAATTTGGGGCGACGTATAAATTATATTCTCAATATTTTAATTCAAAAGAATTTTTACGGTGTCAAATTTGAAATTATCAAATTTTTATTTAGTAAAATTATATATAAAGCAGATTTTCTAGTATTTGAAATTTAATTTAATTTCAAAATTAATAATTGAGTGTGAAGGACAATTTGCATTTGCTTTTTGGGGAAAAAAGTAAAAAAAAAATTTGAAATTAACAATTAATTTAATTTATTTATAAAAAAAATTCCAGAAAATTAAAGAAATTTCCTGACTTTTCCCTGACCGTTAGACAACCTTGAATTTTAATTTTAATAGAATTTTAAAAATATTTAAATTAAATTTCTATAATTTTTTTTATTTTTTTTTTTAATTTCAATTTTCAATCTATTATAAAAAAAAAATTTTGAAAAATACTTGAATTTTTGGAACACATGATTATGTTCTAAAAATCATTAGTATTAGCATTTTCATTTTATGGAATTTCAATTGTCATAATTACTTTTGTGCCGAATTTTTATTTATTTGAATTTTTATTTGTCAGATGTTTTATTTGCTCGTATTTTTATTTAACATAATAGGGCATTTGAAAAGAATAATAATTCGAACAAATGAAAATTCAACTGAAAAAATAAAATTTTCCAAAGTTTCAATTAAAAATTCAATTATTTTCAATTTAAAATCAAATGTAACAATGAATTATTTTCAAAAATTTTCAATACAAAATCAAATAAAATTCAATTATTTTCAATTTAAAATCAAATAAAAATTCAATTATTTTGCAAAATTTAATTCAAAATCAATTGAAATTCAATTATTTTCAAAAATTTCAATTCACAATAAACTACAATTCAATTATTTTCCAAATTTCAACTGAAATTTAATTATTTTCCACATTTTCAATCCTAAATCAACTAAAATTCAATTGTTTTAAAATTTTTCAATTTCAATTTAATTAGTTTCATAAATTTCAATTCAAAATCAACTAAAATTCAATTATTTTCCAAAATTTAATTCAAAATCAATTGAAATTTAATTATTTTCAATTCAAAATCAAATAAAATTCAATTATTTTTCAAAGTTAACTAAAATTCAATTATTTTCAAAATTTTCAATTTAAAATAAACTAAAATTCAATTATATAAAAATTTTTTATTTCAAAATTAATTAAAATTCAATTATTTTCAATTCAAAATCAAATAAAATTCAATTATTTTCCAAAATTATAATTGAAATACAATAATTTTTAAAATTTTTAATTAAAAATCAACCAAAATTCAATTATTTTTCAAAATTCCAATTGAAATTTAATTATTTTCAACAATTTTAAATTCGAAATCAACTAAAATTCAATTATTTTTCAAAATTAACTAAAATTCAATTATTTTCCAAAATTTAATTCAAAATCAATTGAAATTCAATTATTGACAAAAATTCAATTCATAATCAAATGAAATTAAATTATTTTCAAAATTTTGTAATCCAAAATCAACTGAAATTCAATTATTTCCAATTCAAAATCAAATAAAATTCAATTATTTTCCAAAATTACAATTGAAATTCATTTATTTTCAAAATTTTCAATTATAAAAATCAATTAAAATTAAATTATATACAACATTTTTATTTCAAAATTAACTGAAATTCAATTATTTTCAATTCAAAATCAACTAAAATTCAATTATTTTTCAAAATTAACTAAAATTCAATTATTTTCCAAAATTTAATTCAAAATCAATTGATATTCAATTATTGACAAAAATTCAATTCATAATCAAATGAAATTAAATTATTTTCAAAATTTTGTAATCCAAAATCAACTGAAATTCAATTATTTTCAATTCAAAATCAAATAAAATTCAATTATTTTCCAAAATTACAATTGAAATTCATTTATTTTCAAAATTTTCAATTATAAAAATCAATTAAAATTAAATTATATACAACATTTTTATTTCAAAATTAACTGAAATTCAATTATTTTCAATTCAAAATCAACTAAAATTCAATTATTTTTCAAAATTAACTAAAATTCAATTATTTTCCAAAATTTAATTCAAAATCAATTGATATTCAATTATTGACAAAAATTCAATTCATAATCAAATGAAATTAAATTATTTTCAAAATTTTTTAATCCAAAATCAACTGAAATTCAATTATTTTCAATTCAAAATCAAATAAAATTCAATTATTTTCCAAAATTGCAATTGAAATTCATTTATTTTCAAAATTTTCAATTATAAAAATCAACTAAAATTAAATTATATACAAATTTTTATTTCAAAATTAACTGAAATTCAATTATTTTACAAAATTTCAATTTAAATGTATCAAAAATTCAATTTAAAAAATTTTTAATACAAATTAGTAATAAATAGACAAAAAAATTTTTTTTTAAATTCCTATACTAAAAATCAGCTTAAAGTTCAATTGTTTTTCAAAGTTTTAATAAAAATTAAACAAAAATTCAATTATTTTCATTTTTGATAATTTCATTTTAAAAAATTTTAAATTTAAAATGGAAATTCAATTATTTTCAACAAATTTTCAATTCAAAATCAACTAAAATTCAATTAATTTCCAAAAATTTCCAATTTAAAATTATCAAAAATTTTGTTTCTTCACAGAATTTTTATTTGTTAAAATTTTTATTTACTCAAATTTTATATTTCAATATTATTAGGAATTTTAAAGAATTATTATTGGCTAGAATTTTATTGCATATAGAATTTTTACTTTTTTATTCTTTAAGATGAATTTTCATTTGTTCAAATTTATTATTTGATATAAATTTCCATAAAAACTGATTTTTCTGCAGAATTTTTATTTAATCGAAAAATCATTTAACAGAATTTCTAATTGATAGAATTTTGTCCGAAATTGCAAATGACCGAAGCAACAATCGATTTTTGGCGTGATTTTTAAAATTCAACCAATCACAATTTTATGGATAATTTTTGATTGGTTGAATATTAAAAATTGCGCCAAAATCTATTGTTCGGTCATTTGCAATTTCGAACAAAATTCTATCAATTATAGAAATTCTGTTAAATGATTTTTCGGTTAAATGAAAATTCAGCAGAAAAATCGATTTTATAGAAATTCAATCAAAAAAATAATTCGAACAAATGAAAATTCTATATGCAATAAAATTCTGGCCAATAAAAATTCTTTAAAATGCGCCTATTATGTTAAATAAAAATATCAGTAAAAGTAAGAGAAAAAAAAAAATTTTTATTTGGAAAAAGAGAAATTTTTTTTTTTTTTTAAGAAAAATTAATTATTTTTCTTTTTTTTTACGTACTCGTGAAGTTGTACCAAATTCATAAGTTTATCCAGAAGAAATGTATGTGGAGTAAATAATGCTGCAAAAACTCCTATACTTGAAATAAAACAAGCTGTATAACCGAAATTTTGTCCATTTTTCGTTTGGCACCAATTTAAATATCTGCTTAATACACTCATTTTTTTTCTTTCTGAAATTAAATAAATATTTTATAAATAATAATAAACATAATAATTAGAATTGAAAAATTTTTATATTCTAATTATTATTAATTATTAATATAATAATATAAATAATAATAATAATAATAATAATAATAATAATAATAATAATAATAATAATAATTTAATGAATTTTTTATATTCTATAAACTATAATTTATATTTATTTATTTTTATTTATTATTATTATATAATATAATATAATATAATAATATTATTATTATTATTTTTAATTTATTTTTCTATAATTTCCTTAGAGTTATAATTGAAATTATTAAATTTCAAAAAAAAAAATTTTTTTCGATGGAAAATTTTAGAAATAATTAAATTTTAGATGCTTTTAAATTCAAATTATTGAAAATTCAATTAATTTTAAATTCAAATTTTTCAGAATAATTAAATTTTATTTGATTTTAAATTAAAAATTTTTGGAAAATAATTGAATTTTAATTAAAATTTTGAAAAATAATTGAATTTTTGTTGATTTTTAATTGAAAATTTTAAAAATTATTAAATTTGAATTGTAATTTTGGAAAATAATGGAATTTTATTTGATTTTGAATTGAAAATAATTGAATTTCAGTTGATTTTGGATTAAAAAATTTTGAAAATAATTTAATTTCATTTGATTATGAATTGAATTTTTGTCAATAATTGAATTTCAATTGATTTTGAATTAAATTATGGAAAATAATTGAATTTTAGTTAATTTTGAAAAATAATTGAATATTAGTTGATTTTAAAACCACAATTTTAAGAAAATAATTGAATTTTAGTTTATTTTGTATTGAATACTTAGAGAATAATTGAATTTTTGTTAATTTTGGATTGAAATTTTTGAAAATAATTGAATTTTAGTTGATTTTGAATTGAAAATTTTGAAAATAATTTAATTTTAGTTGACTTTGAATTGAAAAATTTGAAAATAATTGAATTTTTGTTTATTTTAAATTGAAAATTTTTAAAATAATTGAATTTCAATTGACATTTTGGAAAATAATTGAATTTTTGTTAATTTTGGATTGAAATTTTTGAAAATAATTGAATTTTAGTTTATTTTGAATTGAAATTAAAAAAAAAAAATAATTCATTTTTTTTTCTTTCTGAAATTAAATAAATATTTTATAAATAATAATAACCATAATAATTAGAATTGAAAAATTTTTACATTCTAATTATTATTAATTGTTAATATAATAATATAAATAATAGGTAATAATAATAATAATAATTTAATGAATTTTTTATATTTTATAAACTGTTCGAAAATTTTGCAAATTTTATCCAAAAATCTCAAAAAAAAAAACCATCAATTTTTTGGGTATTAAAAAAAAAAAAATGTTTTTGAACCTAAAAATCAAAATTTTCGAATTTTTTTTTTTTACTGTAATTTTCATAATTAACGTAACAAAATACATAAATATATTTCGTATAAAAAAAAAAAAAAAAATCAGTGATATTTATAAAAAAAAAATATTTTTAAAAATTTTAGAAAAATTCCAAAAAAATTCAAAATTTTTCTATTTAAAAATAAATAAATTTTTTTCTCTTATTTTTTTTTCATCAAATTTTTCGTAATGTTCAATTAAAACCATTCCACATAGAATTAAAAAAAAAGAACTGAAAGAGATTCATTTTTAAGAAAGAAAATTTAATTTGTTTATAAATTTTATTTAAATTGTAAATAAATATTATAATATATATATATATATATTTCAAAAATTAATCTTACGTTAAAAATTATAACCTCTAATATATAATTACAAATTTTGTATATATAAAATAAGTCTTACCTTCTAATTATATTTTAAATATTCCGTTAATTTCTATTTATATATTAATCTTGACTAGATTAATAAAAATATTTCTCAATTTAATAAATGAAATTTATTTAAAAATTAATTCAATTTTTACCAGTCGTTCATATAGGTATATTTAACGCGCATTACAAAATCTTCTTCTTAACAATTTTCACCGCAATTTCAAACTTTCTATATGAAAAATAAATATTTTAGTAATATTATTTCCATTTCGCAAATAAACAATAAATTTTATTATGTATACAATAATTCCTTTTTATTTCAACAATAATAAAATTTTACTTTTTAAAAGAATAAGAGTCACCGAAAAAAGTTTCCGGATAAAACCTAACCTCAAAAATGTATACGCGCGCATGTGTGCATTGTGTGTATTTTCTATATGCGTGTGTATGTGTGAATTGTGTGCGTGCGTATATTTTCGCTTGGCATTTCGAATGGACAATTTTTTATTAAATTCAATGATACTTCCTTAATATTTAGTTAATGGAGAGGATAATTATACAATTAAATTAATGGTAAGTGGAAATAATTTATAAAAATACTCTAAATTATAATTTTAAATATGTTAGCGATTCATTTTTTTTCATTTGTTTGACATTCCTAACCTCAAAATTTTGCCATATATTTCGATATATTTGTACATACTATATATTTGTCTTCCGCATATATATAACTTTGCCGATAAAATATTTTTCCTTCGATAATATTTTTTAATTTTATGAATATTTTTCTGTTTTTTGAAATATTTCTTTTTTTATTATTTGCTTTTTTTATTTTATTTTAATATTAGTATAGATAAAATATAATAAATAAATATTTTTTCATGTGCGTCAATATATATATATATATATATATATATGTATATATCTGTCAAAGCGTTCAATTTTACCAAAACAAAAACCAATTTTTTTCTTGTTACAATTTAATTCATTTAATAATTAGCAAAAGTTTTTTTTTATTTAATCATTAATTAGTTATATTAATTATTATTTATTATTATTATAATTTTTTATCGAAATATTGTAATTAGTTTTGCGTAATTATTATTCAGTTTTTAAATAATTATTTCAATGCCGAAATTTTTATTTTATTCATTATTTCTCTGTATTTATTTATTTATTTTTTTTATTAATTAAATTGATTAATAATTAGAAAAAAATAACCAATTTTTATTTAATAATTATTTATATTATACAATTTTTATCGAAATGTAATTAATTTTGCGTAATTATTATTTAGTTTTTAAATCGTTTAAAAAAATTGTTTTTTTTTTTTTTTAAATTAAAAATAGAAAGAAACTAAATTTAATTTTTTGAGTTATAATTAAGTAAAAATGGTTTGCCAAATAATTTTTATTAATTATATTTATCAAATAAATTTTATTAAAATTTTTCAAAATAATTTTTAGTAATTATATTAAGCAAATAATTTTTAATAATTATATATTTATTAAATAATTTTTATAAAATTTTTCAAAATACTTTTTATTTATTTATATTTATCAAATAATTTGTAATATAAATTTTTTTTTAAAAATAATTTTTAGTATTTTTACCAAAATAATTTTCAAAAATTAAATTTTCTTTCAATAAAGATTTTTCTTTCAATCATAAATTGTAGAAATTAAAATTATTAATGATAAAATTAAATGAATTGTTAAAAAGATGAAAAAAAAATTCCATTTTAATTTTACTTTAAATTTGTTTAATAAAATTTTTTTTTGTATTTTTTCTTTTTTTTTTAATTTTTCTTTTTTTTTAAAAAAAAAAAAAAAAAAAAGGCTTCAAACGACGGAATTCCACCGGCAGTTCCTGGCTTTCCACCAGGTACACCAAATATGGCCACAACATTTGTTCCACCAATATTACCAGCGGCTCCATTTATTCCACCACCTGGTTTACCACCAGGACCTCCGGGAATGATGCCACCACAATTTTCCATTCCACCACCAGGTTTTGGATTTCCAATTGGCGCCGCACCACCGCCAGAAGCTGGTGTTATTGGTAAATTTATTTTTAAATTAATTAATTAAATAAATAAATTTTTAAAATAATTAATTTTAATTAATTAACATTCATTTTGTTTATTTATAATATATTAAAATGAAATTTAGTAAATTAATTAATTAATAATTAATTAATTTATTACCTTTTTTTAATTAATTAGTAATTATCAATAAATAAATTATTAATTAATAATAAATTAATTTTATTTCATAGAAACTTTTTTTTTTTTTTTTTTTAATAATAAATTAAAACGAAAGGAAATATAAAATTTAATTGTATATCAAATTGAATTTTTTTTTTTTAATTACGTAAATATTTAATATTTCTGTATTCATTAAAACTAATTAAACAAAAAAAATTAAACTATTCTTATTAAAATATTTGATATTCGAATTATTTTAAATCGAAATGAAATTAAAAAAAGAAACAAATATTTTGTATTAAATTTATTTTTATATAGAAAAATAGAGAAAATAGAAAAAAAAAGAAGAAAAATTTGTTCTAAAAAATAGAATTTTAAAATAAATTTTTCTTTCTAAATAAAAAATTTTAATTTCAAAAATTTGATTTCTAATTAAATTTCTAACTTTAATTGAATAAAATTTTAATATTTTAAATAAATTAAAAATGTTTATTTAAAAAAAAAATTGTATTTCTATTTTAATTTCGATTTGAAATAATAAAAATTTGTAATAAAATGAAATGAAAATTTTTTTTTTTTTTTATTTCTTTTTTTTGTGAAGCTGCACCACCACAAATAACATCACAAGTTGTACCACCGCCGGCGCCAACTCTCAACGATATTAAATCAGTTTCAAATTTAACGGAGAAAAAATGCGATTGGTCAGAACATAAAGCGCCCGATGGACGTACATATTATTATAATAATACAACAAAACAATCATTATGGGAAAAGCCAGATGAATTAAAAAGTCAAAGTGAACTTTTATTATCGCAATGTCCATGGAAGGAATATAAATCGGAGAATGGTAAAGTTTATTATCATAATGTTGCAACAAAAGAATCACGTTGGACAATACCACCTGAATTAGATGAATTAAAAACAAGAATTGTCGCTGAGGATGCTGCTGCAGCGGCAGCAGTTGCTGTTGCAAGTGCCACAAATACGTGAGATTCAAATTTTTTTTTTTTTTATTCTATCTTCTATATTTTTTTTTTTGAAATTTATTCTATTTAAATTGCAATTGAAAAAAAAAAAAATTTCTTACAATTATTTAAATTGTGAAATATTGGAAATAAATTTTTTTTTTGGCTAATATTCATTATAGAATTATTTCTCATTACAGAATTAATAAAATGAATTTAATGTCTAATAACATTAGTTTATTAATAAAAATATTAATTTTCTTTTTCATTAGCGGTGGAATTGGTTCAGTTACAATGCAACGTATGTCGCCAAATATTGCATCTCTTTCGCAAACAAGTACACCTGAATCAGGTGGTAAATCGGCTATTGAACAGGCAATGGCGGCAACATTAGCGGCAATAAATATTCCAACACCACCATCAAAACCTGACGATGACAGTAATTCAGCAAAAGAATCGGCAAATGGTAGTCGTACAAGTACACCAGAGCCAAAAATGCAATTTAAAGACAAAAAAGAAGCAATTGAAGCATTTAAAGAATTACTCAAAGAAAAAGATGTCCCTTCAAATGCAACATGGGAACAGGCGGTGAAAATAATTCAAAATGATTCACGTTATCCACAAATGAAAAAATTAAATGAACGTAAACAGGCATTTAATGCATATAAAACGCAAAAATTAAAAGAGGAACGCGAACAAGAGAGATTAAGGTATTTATCATTTTTATAATTAATTAATATTTATTTGTAATTTAAAGACAATTCAATTATTTATATTTGTTTAAATTAATTAATTTGCCTAAAATAGTTAATTATTATATAATAATAAAATGCTTTGTCTGTCCTTCTGTCCTAATTTGAAGTTGGCCTTTTCTGATTTCACGTGTTTTTTTTTTTTTGAATAGTAATCTTATGACGTGTCAAATTTTGACAATTCTTTTTCTCACTTTTTGCAAAATTTGTATAATTGTGTTTCCAAAATTTCGGAATAAATTTCTTTAAAATTCCAAATTTGAAAATTCCAATCACGAAGCTGAAGTACACAACGTTTACACAACATAAATTTTTTTTAATGTTGTATATTCATTCAAAAATTGTACAAAAAATTTATGATGAAAAAAAAGATACGCCAGGAAATTTCGTACAAGATAGTAATTTGAAAAAAATTTATTTTTAAAGTACCAGGGTGGCCAACGAATACCTATATTAAATATTAATTATAAAAACACAGGCCTCGAATCAACTTAAAGACATAAAAAAAGTCGTTTTAGTCGATTTATATTTCAAAAGAAAAGTGGATTTGTTTTTTATTTTAACAAAAATATTTTACAGATTTTTAAATAAAAATTTTTTTTTTTTTTTTTTAATAATAATCCTTTTCGAAGGGTTAAAGTTGAAATTTTTAGAAATAATTAAATTTCAAAAGATATATTGTTAATTTTCAAACAATTATTAAATTTTACAAAACTAAAAATAATTTATCAAACAATTTTTGGAAAATATTTTTTAAATTAAATTGAATTTTCAAAGATTTAAAATTGAGATTATTGAAATTAATTGAAACTTTAAGTGATTTTTAATTAAAATTTTAGATGATTTTATTAAAAATTTATTAGAAAATGCGGACAAAAGACAATAATTCGAAAATCATTTTTAATTGAAAAATAGTTTCAGATAGTTGAATTTTCAAAGAATATTATTACAATAGTTAAAAATAATTGAATTTCCTTAGAGTTATAATTGAAATTATTAAATTTCAAAAAAAAAAAAAATTTCGATGGAAAATTTTAGAAATAATTAAATTTTAGATGCTTTTAAATTCAAATTATTGAAAATTCAATTAATTTTAAATTCAAATTTTTCAGAATAATTAAATTTTATTTGATTTTAAATTACAAATTTTTGGAAAATAATTGAATTTTATTTGATTTTGAATTGAAAATAATTGAATTTCAGTTGATTTTGGATTACAAAATTTTGTACATAATTTAATTTCATTTGATTATGAATTGAATTTATTTATTTATTTATGAAACTAATTTAATTGAAATTGAAAATTTTTAAAAAAATTGAATTTTATTTGATTTAGGATTAAAAATTTGGAAAATAATTAAATTTCAGTTGAAATTTGGAAAATAATTGAATTGTATTTTATTGTGAATTGAAATTTTTTAAAATAATTGAATTTCAATTGATTTTGAATTGAAAATTTTGAAAATAATTGAATTTCATTTGATTATGAATTGAATTTTTGTCAATAATTGAATATCAATTGATTTTGAATTAAATTTTGGAAAATAATTGAATTTTTGTTAATTTTGGATTGAAATTTTTGAAAATAATTGAATTTTATTTGATTTTGAATTGAAAATAATTGAATTTCAGTTGATTTTGGATTACAAAATTTTGAAAATAATTTAATTTCATTTGATTATGAATTGAATTTTTGTCAATAATTGAATATCAATTGATTTTGAATTAAATTTTGGAAAATAATTGAATTTTAGTTAATTTTGAAAAATAATTGAATTTTAGTTGATTTTGAATTGAAAATAATTGAATTTCAGTTAATTTTGAAATAAAAATGTTGTATATAATTTAATTTTAATTGATTTTTATAATTGAAAATTTTGAAAATAAATGAATTTCAATTTTAATTTTGGAAAATAATTAAATTTTATTTGATTTTGAATTGAAAATAATTGAATTTCAGTTGATTTTGGATTACAAAATTTTGATAATAATTTAATTTCATTTGATTATGAATTGAATTTTTGTCAATAATTGAATTTCAATTGATTTTGAATTAAATTTTGGAAAAAAATTGAATTTTAGTTGATTTTGAATTGAAATTTATGAAACTAATTAAATTGAAATTGAAAATTTTTAAAACAATTGAATTGTAGTTGATTTAGGATTAAAAATTTGGAAAATAATTAAATTTCAGTTGAAATTTGGAAAATAATTGAATTGTAGTTTATTGTGAAATTAATTTTTGTCAATAATTGAATTTCAATTGATTTTGAATTAAATTTTGGAAAATAATTGAATTTTATTTGATTTTGAATTGAAAATAATTGAATTTCAGTTGATTATTATTTTTAATTTATTTTTCTATAATTTCCTTAGAGTTATAATTGAAATTATTAAATTTAAAAAAAAAACAATTTTTTTCGATGGAAAATTTTAGAAATAATTAAATTTTAGATGCTTTTAAATTCAAATTATTGAAAATTCAATTAATTTTAAATTCAAATTTTTCAGAATAATTAAATTTTATTTGATTTTAAATTAAAAAATTGTTGAAAATAATTGAATTTCAATTGAAATTTTGAAAAATAATTGAATTTTGGATGATTTTTAATTGAAAATTTTAAAAATTATTAAATTTGAATTGTAATTTTGGAAAATAATTGAATTGTATTTTATTGTGAATTGAAATTTTTTAAAATAATTGAATTTTAGTTGACTTTGAATTGAATTTTTGTCAATAATTGAATTTAAATTGATTTTGAATTAAATTTTGGAAAATAATTGAATTTTAGTTCATTTTGAAAAATAATTTAATATTAGTTGATTTTAAAACTACAATTTTAAGAAATTAATTGAATTTTAGTTTATTTTGAATTGAATACTTGGAAAATAATTGAATTTTCGTTAATTTTGGATTGAAATTTTTGAAAATAATTGAATTTTAATTGATTTTGAATTGAAAATAATTGAATTTTAGTTGACTTTGAATTGAAAATTTTGAAAATAATTGAATTTTTGTTTATTTTGAATTGAAAATTTTGAAAATAATTGATTTTCAATTGACATTTTGGAAAATAATTGAATTTTTGTTAATTTTGGATTGAAATTTTTGAAAATAATTGAATTTTAGTTTATTTTGAATTGAAATTAGAAAAAAAATAATTCAATTTTATTGTGATATTTTTTTTTAAATTATAAAATAAATTATTAAAAATAATTAAATTAGTGAAGAATCATTTTAGTTTAAAATTTGTTAAATAATTGAATTGAAGAAGATCTGAAGAAGATCTACATTTTATACTTAAAATAATGTATTTTATTTACATGTTTTTTTTCAAATGTAAAAGAAATGTCGCATTTTATTAAAATAAGTCGATAAAAGTCGTATTTTTAAAAAAAAATCGGAAAAATTCGTATAATCCGAGGCCTGTAAACATATAATTTTCATTATTATCATTTAATATGTAATAATATTCTAATAAATTAAATTATTATTTGATAATATTAATCTGTTATTAATTTGTTTAAAATTAGACTTTGGATAAAAATGGGAATTTTTCTAATTTTTTTTGAATTGAAAAACCTTTTTTCAGATTAAAAAAAGCGAAAGAAGATCTTGAGGCATTTTTACTTGAACCAACCCGAATGTTAAGTACAACGAAATATTATAAATGCGAGGAAATGTATGGAAATTTGGAAGTATGGCGTTCAGTTGGCGATTCAGATCGACGTGATATTTATGAGGATGTTATATTTAATTTAGCAAAACGTGAAAAAGAAGAGGCAAAAATATTAAAGAAACGTAATACAAAAAGAATGGCACAAGTTTTAGATGCATTGACCGATGTTAATTATCGTACAACATGGCAAGAGGCGCAAGCATTGCTTATTCAACATACATCATTTGCTGAGGATGCCGATTTATTGCAAATGGATAAGGAGGATGCAATTCTTGTTTTTGAAAATCATATAAGACAACTTGAAAAAGATGAAGAGGAAGAAAAGGAGAGGGAAAAAAAACGACGAAAACGACAGGAGAGAAAAAATCGTGATGGATTTATTGTGAGTGGGAATTTTTTTTTTTTTTTTTTTTTTTTTTTTTTTAATAGTTTTTAATTATTTTTAAAAAATTATTTAGTAAAGAAAAATTAAATTTAAAAAATAAAAAATATATCTATTTTCCTTTATAGAGTCTTCTTGACGAATTACATGAACAGGGAAAATTAACATCAATGTCATTATGGGTTGAACTTTATCCAATGTTATCGGCTGATTTACGATTTTCAGCAATGCTCGGTCAATCGGGTTCAACTCCACTTGATCTTTTTAAATTTTATGTTGCCGATCTTAAATCACGTTTTCATGATGAGAAAAAAATAATACGTGAAATTTTAAAAGATCGTAATTTTGAAGTACAAGTTAATACAACATTTGAAGAATTTGCAACTGTTGTTTGTGAGGATAGAAAATCAGCGACATTAGATGCGGGTAATGTAAAATTAACATATAATTCATTATTAGAAAAAGCTGAAGCACGTGAAAAAGAACGTGTTAAAGAAGAAATGAGGAAATTTAAAAAACTTGAATTGGGTTTTAAAAATTTATTAAAAACATTGGGTGTTGATTATCAAATGACATGGGACGATGTGAGAATGAAAATTGAAGAGGAACCTGATTTTAAAGCAATTTCATTGGAAAGTGAAAGATTAAGAATATTTAAGGAACATCAACATGAATTAGAAGAAAGTTGTAGTCATCATCATATTCGTAGTCGAAAGAAAAAAACAAAGAAACCTAAACGAAAATCACGTTCAAAATCACATAGTGTGAGTATATATATTTTTTTCAAATTGTAATTGAAGTCGTTTAAAAAAATTTATTTTAGAAAATTTAAATTGGTTTTTCGTTTTTTTTCACAGGATTCCGAAAACAGTGAAAAGGGTCTAAAGAAAAAACGACACAGATCAAAATCTGCAAGTGTTGGCAGTAAATCCGATAGTTCAGAATCAGAAACAAAAAAGAAGCGGAGAAAAAATAAAAAGAAACGTGGCCGCAGTCATTCGGTAAATTAAATAATAATATTTCTATTTATTTTTTTTTCTTTAGAGTTTATATAAAAAAAAAAAAAATTAATAAAGTTTTGACATTTTTTTTTTTATTTGCGACAGAATAAAATTTATTTGAATTAAATTAAAAAATATATTTTTGTCTCAGAGCCTAAATAATTTTTAATTTATTTCAAATAAATTTTTTCTTTTAATTAAATAATTTTGGTTAAATTATTTTTTAATATTCTTTGGTTGAAAAAAATAAATAAATAAAAGAAAAGAAAATTTATTTATTTTTAAATTTAAATAAATAAACTTTTTTTTACTGTTGGTACTTGGAATAAATAAAATAGAAAAAAATAAATAACTAAATAAATTTTTAATAAAAATTAACTAAAAAATAAAAAACTAAATAAATGCTAAATTTTACATAATAAATAATTTTTTTTTTTGCTATTTATTTTTGACAGAGATCACACTCGAGACTTCCATCGTCTGAAGAATCGCCCGATCAACGAAGAAAAGATGATAAACATCGACGAACATCAATACAAAGTGACGGCTCATTAAATGAAAATGTCGAACAACATGAATTGTCCGAAGATGAATTAGAAAAACAAAAAGCACAAATTCTTCGCGAATTACAAATGCAACAGGAAGAAAATTAAATAAATTCTTTATTAAACAAAGAAAGAAAAAAAAAAGAAAAGAAAGAAAGAAAAAAGAAAAATAATTTGAGGTATTGTTTTTTTTTTATATTGACAATTTCGTAATATTAAACATTTTTGCAATTTAACAAACAATTTTTTTTGTTTAAAACAAAAAAAAAACATAAAATGCATGAAATTTTATTCTTTTTTTTTGCGGGGAAAATAACGAAATTAATTTTTAATGAAAATTATTATTTTTTACATTTAAAAGAATTTTTTTTTTAGTTTTTAATTTAAAAAATTTTATTTATTGGATTTTAAAAATTTTTATTTAAAATAGTTTTTATTTAACTACATTTTTAAAATTTTATTTAATTAAAATTAAATTAAATTTTTTTTGCAAAATTTTTTATATAACCGAAATTCAAAATTAGCGAATTTTTATTTTATAGAAATTTTATTTTAGGCAAATTTTTCATTTAGCAGAATTTTTTTTTAAAGCGAAACTTCATTTTAGCAGAAAATTTATTTAAACTAATTTGTATTTAGCATAATTTTTATTTAAACTAATTTTCATTTAGCAAAATTTTTAATTAGCGAATTTTTATTTTACAGAAATTTTATTTTAGGCAAATTTTTTATTTAGCAGAATTTTTTTTTAAAAGAAACTTCATTTTAGCAGAAAATTTACTTAAACAAATTTTTATTTAGCAAAATTTTTATATTTTACCGAAATTCTATCTAGGAAATTTTTTATTTAACAAAATTTTTCCTTCAAACGAAATTCTATTTAGCTGAATAAATTATTTAGCCAATATTTAGCCCCTTTATGCAAGGGAATTTTTATTTAGCAAATTTTTCATTAAGAATTGTTATTTAACCGAATTCTCATTTAACTAAATTTTTATTTAACCGAAATTTTATTTTTTTATCTAAATTTTCATTTAGCAGAATTTTTATTCAACTGAAACTTCATTTTAGCAGAAAATTTATTTAAACTAATTTTTATTTAGCAGAATTTTTATTCAAACTAATTTTCATTTAGGAGAATTTTTATTTAACCCAATTTTTATTTAGCTAAATTTTATATTTTACCGAAATTCTATTTAAGAAATTTTTTATTTAACAAAATTTTTCCTTCAAACGAAATTCTATTTAGCTGAATAAATTATTTAGCCAATATTTAGCCCCTTTTTGCAAGGGAATTTTTATTTAGCAAATTTTTCATTATGAATTGTTATTTTTAATCAAATTTTCATTTAACTAAATTTGTATTTAGCAGAATTTTTATTTAACCGAAATTTTATTTTTTATCTAAATTTTCATTTAGCAGAATTTTTATTTAACTGAAACTTCATTTTAGCAGAAAATTTATTTAAACTAATTTCTTTTAGCAGAATTTTTATTTAAACTAATTTTCATTTAGAAGAATTTTTATTTAAACTAATTTTCATTTAGCTGAATTTTTATATTTTACCGAAATTTTATTTTAGGCAAATTTTTCATTTAGCAGAATTTTTTTTAAAGCAATATTTCATTTAGCAGAAAATTTATTTAAACTAATTTTTATTTAGCAGAATTTTTATTTAAACTAATTTTCATTTAGGAGAATTTTTATTTTACCAAATTTTTATATTTTACCGAAATTCTATTTAGGAAATTTTTTATTTAACAAAATTTTTCCTTCAAGCGAAATTCTATTTAGCTGAATAAATTATTTAGCCAATATTTAGCCCCCTTTTGCAAGGGAATTTTTATTTAGCAAATTTTTCATTAAGAATTGTCATTTTTAACCAAATTTTCATTTAACTAAATTTGTATTTAGCAGAATTTTTATTTAACTGAAATTCTATTTTTTATCTAAATTTTCATTTAGCAGAATTTTTATTTAACCGAAATTTTTTTTTATCTAAATTTTCATTTAGCATAATTTTTATTTAACCGATTTTTTTTATTTATCTAAATTGTCATTTAGCAGAATTTTTATTTTATCGAAATTTTATTAAACAATTTTTTTGTTATTTATCCTTTTTTTCTCTATTTAAATTTTGGAGTCAAATTTTCCTAATTGAAAATAATTCTCGTGATTGGTTAGAAAATTTACATTTAAAAAATATTTTACTGGCAATTTGTTTAATTTCCACCAATAGGAATATTTTCTCATTTTTTTAAACATAGGTTATGTAGAATACTTCATTACCGACACTATTCTGAATTTAAAGCACATTCCGTTTTTTTTTTCATTTAGACCACAAAAACTCTTCTGATTGGTTGAAATTGGACATTATTTTCTATTTCCACCAATGATAATGTATTTCTTACTATTATTTTTACGCAGTTATTAATTTTATCCCCACCTATTGTTTCTTATCACAAATATTGTAAATTGTACTTTCCCTGTTTATCAACTGTTCTCGACATTCTTCCCCCCCCAACAGGAACACAAGGAAAAGTCATTTGTAACACAAAACATATATATTTGCCGCTAAGACAGTTTTACAAGATTTACAAAGTTTATTAAATTCATTGTGAATTCGTGTGAAATTTTTATAGAATTTCGTTACAGTGAAGGAAAATCAATTGAAAAATGGGACGAAAAGGTAATTATGACAGAGTTTAAAAGTATTTTTTTTTTTTTTTGACTTTTTGAAAATGATGCAATTTTACATCACCATTTTGCATATTGCCATTTTTGTGTAATTTATTTTGTTTTTCCATTGTGTGTGTGTTTTTTTTATGTTGTTTAATATCGCGATGCGAAACTTTCGTTTATTTTGATTGAAAAAAAAAGAATTTATTATTTTTCGCTTCTAAGAAAATTGTAATATATAATTTTGTAATTTATTGTGTTTGTGAGGGATTAATTTACATTGTTTTCAATATTTTTGTTTTCTATTTAGAGGCATTTATTTTGTTTTTCGATTAAAAATAAATAACATTTCATTATTTTTCTTTGCCGATTATATATTTATATACGCGTAAATCGGATTCCTAACCTCAAAAATTCTGACGATAATGGAAATTAAATATTTCTTTTATCGAAAAAAAAAGAAATGTTTAATAGTTGGAAAATGATAAAAATATAACGGGTGGTTTAGAAAAAATCGATTTTTATCGAAAAAATTTACGTAAATTTACAAGAAAACAATTAATTTAATCCTTCGAATTATTTTTATATTAGAAAAAAAAAAAAAAAAATAGAAATAGATAAAAATTTCTTTCTATTAAAAAATTTATCGAAAAAAAAACAAAAATTAATTTCAATAAATATTAAAAGATTATTTATTAAAAATTTAATAGTGAAACAAAAAACAATTTTTTTCTATTTTATAAAAAAAACAAATTTTTATTTATTTCTTTATTTTAGCAATTAAACGGGCAATGCCCTTTTTTTAAAAATAAAATAAATAAATAAAAATTTTTATTTAAATATCATTTATTTTATAAATGTAGTAATTTTTTATTTTAAATTTCAATTGAAATTATAAAGAATTTTTTTTTCTATAATCATTGATTAAAAATTAAAATTTTGAAATTTCATATTATTTTATTGATTATTTGGACAAAAAATGATATCAATTATTCAATGGACAAAGATAATTTTAAATTTAAATTTAAAAAATTAATTTTTAATTGCAAAATATTTGCAAATAGTTTTTAAAAAAAATTCAATTTTTTAAATATTAAATATTTAATTGATTCATTGGAAGTTAATTTAAATTTATTTAATTTATATTTATTATTTTGAAAAAAGAAATTTATAAAAAAAAATAATTTTAATAATTTTTGAAAAAAAGAATTTTAAAATATTTTTAAATCGTTTAAAATTCAATAAATTTTGAAATAATTTTTAATTATTTAATTTAAATAATTTAAAGTTATAATTTAAATTATTTTATATTTGATTATATTATTTTATTTATATACTATTACTATTTAATTATTTGCAGATAATTTAAATTATTTTTTTTATTATTATTTATTTTCTATTAGATTTTTTTTTGTTTTTAGTTTTTTTTACGAAAGAATTAAATTATTTGATTCAATTTAATTGTATTAAATAATTAATTTAAATATTATAAAAAGAAAATATTTATTAAGAAAAAATAAAAAAAATGTAAAATGTAAAATTAGGAAAAAAGAAATCAGAAGGTGGAGATCCTCCAAAGGAAACTTCTATTAATCCAGCAGCAGGAGACACAATGCCTGTACGAGCACCTGCTCCACCTGCAATTCGAGGTTTTAATCTTGAAAATTATATATGAAAGAAAAAAGACAAAAAAAATTATATAATTTCTTTTTTCTTTTCAAAAAAAAAAAAAATTGCAAATCTTGTAATATTTCTTTAGCAACTTTCATCTGTAGAATTTATATTTTTCTTCCAGCCTGTTTTTCTCACTAATTTTTCTTAATTATATGTTTCTCTTTCTAGCTGCTATTTATAATTTGTATTTTTTTTTTTTTTAATTTAAAAGAATGTCAGTTGTAGCAAAGAATATAATTACCAATTTTTATAACAATCTGTTAATTTGTTTAGAAGTTATAAAAGTTTTTTGGATTTTTTTTTTTTTTTTTTTTTTTTTTTTTTTTTTTTTTTTTTTAAGGGTTATTACGTAATAATTTTACGATTAAATTTCCAAAATTTGTATTTTTCGCTTTTAGAGGATGTTATTCATTGCAAAGAACATAAGTATCAAGATTCATAAGAAACGGTTAATTTTTTTCGAAATTATAACGGTTTTTTGGATTTTTTTGGGGTCATTCCATAAAAATTTTGCGCTATTTTTCTAAAATTTGTTTTTTTTTTTGCCTCTAAAGGATGTTATTCATTGCAAATAACATAAATACAAAGTTCCATAACAATTCGGTAATTTGTTTGGAAATTATAACGGTTTTTTTGAATTTTTTTTGGGGTCATTTCGTAATAATTATGAGCTTTTTTTTGTAATTTTGTATCTTTTTGCCTTTAAACAATATCGTTTATTGCAAAGAACATAATTACCAAGTTTCATAAATATCCAGTGATTTTTTTGGAAGTTATAATCGTTTTTTGAATTTTTTTTGGGTCATTTCGCAATAATTGAACGCTTTTTTTCTAGGTTTTTATTTTTTTCGCCTCTAAAGGAAATTTATTTATTGCTAAGAACATAGTTACCAATATCTATAACATTCTGTTGATGTGTTTAGAAGTTATAAAGGTTTTTTGGAATTTTTTGGGGTCATTCCATAATAATTTTACTTTTTTTTCCAAAAATTTGTATTTTTTACCTTTAGAAGATGTTATTAATTGCAGAGAACATAATTACCAAGTTTTAGAATGATCCATTAATTTCTTTCAAAGTTATAACCGTTTTTTGAATTTTTTTAGAGTCATTCCGTAATAATTTTACGTTTATTTTTCCAAAATTTTTTTTTGCCTTTAGAGGATGTTATTCATTTCAAAGAACATAAGTACCAAGTTTCATAAGAATCGGTTAATTTTTTTCGAAGTTATAACGGTTTTTTGGATTTTTTTGGAGTCATTCCATAATAAAATTACACTTTTTTCCTTAATTTTGTGTTTTTTGACTATTAGAAAGTTATATTCATAGCAAAGAACATAATTATCAATTTTTATAACAATCCGTTAATATAATTAGAAGTTAGAAGGAGTTTTTTGGATTTTTTTGGTACCATTCCGTAAAAATTTTGCGCTATTTTTCTAAAATTTGTTTTTTTTTTGCCTCTAAAGGATGTTATTCATTGCAAATAACATAAATACAAAGTTCCATAACAATTCGGTAATTTGTTTGGAAATTATAACGGTTTTTTTGAATTTTTTTTGGGGTCATTTCGTAATAATTATGCGCTTTTTTTTGTAATTTTGTATCTTTTCGCCTTTAAACAATATCGTTTATTGCAAAGAACATAATTACCAAGTTTCATAAATATCCAGTGATTTTTTTGGAAGTTATAATCGTTTTTTGAATTTTTTTTGGGTCATTTCGCAATAATTGAACGCTTTTTTTCTAGGTTTTTATTTTTTTCGCCTCTAAAGGAAATTTATTTATTGCTAAGAACATAGTTACCAATATCTATAACATTCTGTTGATGTGTTTAGAAGTTATAAAGGTTTTTTGGAATTTTTTGGGGTCATTCCATAATAATTTTACTTTTTTTTCCAAAAATTTGTATTTTTTACCTTTAGAAGATGTTATTAATTGCAGAGAACATAATTACCAAGTTTTAGAATGATCCATTAATTTCTTTCAAAGTTATAACCGTTTTTTGAATTTTTTTAGAGTCATTCCGTAATAATTTTACGTTTATTTTTCCAAATTTTTTTTTTGCCTTTAGAGGATGTTATTCATTTCAAAGAACATAAGTACCAAGTTTCATAAGAATCGGTTAATTTTTTTCGAAGTTATAACGGTTTTTTGGATTTTTTTGGAGTCATTCCATAATAAAATTACACTTTTTTCCTTAATTTTGTGTTTTTTGACTATTAGAAAGTTATATTCATAGCAAAGAACATAATTATCAATTTTTATAACAATCCGTTAATATAATTAGAAGTTAGAAGGAGTTTTTTGGATTTTTTTGGTACCATTCCGTAAAAATTTTGCGCTATTTTTCTAAAATTTGTTTTTTTTTTTGCCTCTAAAGGATGTTATTCATTGTAAATAACATAAATACAAAGTTCCATAACAATTCGGTAATTTGTTTGGAAATTATAACGGTTTTTTTGAATTTTTTTTGGGGTCATTTCGTAATAATTATGCGCTTTTTTTTGTAATTTTGTATCTTTTCGCCTTTAAACAATATCGTTTATTGCAAAGAACATAATTACCAAGTTTCATAAATATCCAGTGATTTTTTTGGAAGTTATAATCGTTTTTTGAATTTTTTTGGGGTCATTTCGTAATAATTGAACCCTTTTTTTTCTATATTTGTATTTTATTCGCCTCTAAAGGAAATTTATTCATTGCAAAGAACATAATTACCAATATCTATAACATTCTGTTGATGTGTTTAGAAGTTATAAAGGTTTTCTTGGAATTTTTTGGGGTCATTCCATAATAATTTAACTTTTTTTTCCAAAAATTTGTATTTTTTTTCATCTAAAGGATTTTATTCATTGCAAAGAACATAATTACTAAGTTTTAGAATGATACATTAATTTCTTTCAAAGTTAAAACTGTTTTTTGAATTTTTTTAGGGTCATTCCATAATAATTTTAATTTTTTTCCTCTAAAGGATGTTATTAATTGCAGAGAACATAATTACCAAGTTTTAGAAAGATCCATAAATTTTTTTCGATGTTAAAAACGTTTTTTGTATTTTTTTGGGGTCATTCCGTAATAAATTATGCGTTTTTTTTTCGTAATTTTGTATCTTTTCACCTTTAAACAATATCCTTTATTGCAAAGAACATAATTACCAAGTTTCATAAATATCCAGTGACTTGTTTGGAAGGTATAACAGTTTTTTGAATTTTGTTTAGGGTCATTCCGTAATAATTTTACATTTATTTTTCCAAAATTTGTATTTTTTGCCTTTAGGGGATGTTATTAATTGCAGAGAACATAATTACGTAGTTTTAGAAAGGTCTATTAATTTGTTTGGAAGTTATACCTGTTTTTAGAATTTTTTTGGGGTCATTCTATAATAATTTTACTTTTTTTTTCCAAAAATTTGTATTTTTTTCCCCCTAAAGATTTTATTCATTACAAAGAACATAATTACCAAGTTTTAGTAAGATCCATTAATTAGTTTGGAAATTATAACTGTTTTTTGAATTTTTTTGAGGTCATTTCGTAATAATTATGAGCTTTTTTTATAATTTTGTATTTTTTCACCTTTAAACAATATCGTTTATTGCAAAGGACATAATTACCAAGTTTCAGAGATATCCTGTAATTTGTTTGTAAGTTATAACCGTTTTTTGAATTTTTTTAGGGTCATTCCGTAATAATTTTACGTTTATTTTTCCAAAATTTGTATTTTTTGCCTTTTGAGGATATTATTCATTGCAGAGAACATAATTATCTAGTTTTAGAAAGGTCTATTAATTTGTTTGGAAATTATAACAGTTTTTTGGATTTTTTTGGGGTCATTCCATAATAATTTTACTTTTTTTTCCAACAATTTGTATTTTTTTTCCCCTAAAGATTTTATTCATTACAAAGAACATAATTACCAAGTTTTAGTAAGATCCATTAATTGGTTTGGAAATTATAACTGTTTTTTGAATTTTTTTGAGGTCATTTCGTAATAATTATGCGCTTTTTTTTGTAATTTTGTATTTTTTCGCCTTTAAACAATATCGTTTATTGCAAAGAACATAATTACCAAGTTTCATAAATATCCAGTGATTTTTTTGGAAGTTATAACCGTTTTTTGAATTTTTTTAGGGTCATTCTGTAATAATTTTACGTTTATTTTTCCAAAATTTGTATTTTCTGCCTTTAGAGGATGTTATTCATTGCAGAGAACATAATTACCTAGTTTTAGATAGGTCTATTAATTTGTTTGGAAGTTATATCTGTTTTTAGAATTTTTTTGGGGTCATTCTGTAATAATTTTACGTTTATTTTTTCAAAATTTGTATTTTTCACCTTTAATGGATGTAATGTAATGTAATCTGTGTTGTTAATTTTTGATTACATAAAAATTCTGTTACATAAATAATTGGTTTAATATATATATATATATATATATATATATATATATATATATATATATATATATATATATTAATTAAATTAGATTCTACTTTATGATTCTTCTATACGCTTACATATATGTCTATAATGCTACTCTTATTATTAATTTTTCCTCTACTTCTGTATGTTGTATTTTTAAAAATTTTAATTTTTCTTAGTTGACGATCTTAATATATTGTTGATGAATTTTTAATCTTTTTGTTTTTTTTTTGTTCTTTCTAAAAAAATAGAGGAACAAAATTTTCCGCCACTAGGTGGTAATCCTCGTGGTAGAGGAGATGGCCCACGAGGAGGTGGTGGAGGAAGAGGCGGAGGTGGAGACAGGGGAGGATTCAGAGAAGGTGGAGGAAGAGGAAACAGAGAAGGTGATGGTGGCAGAGGAGGAAGAAGAGGAGAAGGTGGAAGAGAATTTAGAGAAGGAGGAGGGAATAGAGAAGGCGATGGTGGCCAAGGAAGAAGAGGCGAAGAAGGTGGAAGAAGAGAAGGGGGAGGATTTAGAGAAGGAGAAGGTGGAAGAGGAGGAGGAAGAAGAGAAGGGGGAGGAGGATTTAGAGAAGGTGATGGTGGCCGAGGAGGTGGTGGAGGAAGAGGCGGATTTAGAGAAGGAGAAGGTGGAAGAGGAGGAGGAAGAAGAGAAGGGGGAGGATTTAGAGAAGGAGGAAGAGGTGGAGAGGGATACAGAGAAGGTGAAGGAGGCAGAGGAGGAAGAGAAGGAGGAGGTGGAGGAGGAAGAGGAGGAGGAGGAAGCAGAGAAGGCGATGGTGGTAGAGGAAGAAGAGATGGTGGTGGTAGAGGAGGAAGAGATGGTGGTGGTAGAGAAGGCAGTGGTGGTAGAGGAAGAGGTAGAGGAGAAAGAAGAGATGATCGCGAATTTAGAGAAAGACAACCGGAAATGGAACGTCGTCAGGAACAAAGACCTGGTGGTGCATGGGGTCAGCCACAACAACAACAACAAAGTCCCTCTACTTCTGATCAACAACAAAAATCCCTTCCCCAATCTCCACCTCAAACTCCATCTAAACAGGTAATTATTATTCTATACCATTTTTATTTACTATATTTCTTTTATTATTATTATTCCCCTATTTTTTTTTGTCAAAGAAAGACTTGAACTTATCATAGTTTTGAGACTTTTTTTTTTACCATTTTAATGCAAAAAATAAAATAAAATTTTTTGAAAAAAAAAAAAATTTCCTTTTTCTTTTTATTTACAGGATCCAAAACCGCCAACAAAAGAAATGGAAAAACTGAGTTTAAAGGAAAAACCTTCTTCAAAACAGGTTATTAAAAATGAATTTTTTATTTATTTATTTATTATAAAAAATTATTTATATTAAAATAAAATTTTTGAATTCTAAATAATTTTAATTAATTTTTTTTTTCATTTTAAAATAATTCGTCGGTAATTAATAATAATAATTATAATTATTATTTTTATTGTAATTTTAATAATTAAATATTGTCTTATTTTTTTAAAATTTAATGTTTGTTGATAAAAAATTGTTTATTGTTTTCTATTTAAAAAAAAAAAAAAAAAAAAAATTATTTTTCTTAGGTCGCATCAAAAGTAAAGGTTGATTATAAATCATCAGTGTCGGAAACAATATCAAAACAAATGATTAGTTCTATTCCATTGAGAAAAGGTGAAGGTAAACTTGGTCGGCCAATTCAAGTTTTTGTGAATATGATGAAAATTTTATTTGGTAAAAATTTTCGTTCCGATGTTATACATTATGACGCGACATTTGATCCCGATGTGCCACGTTATTTAATTCCAAGGGCTTTTGAAAAATTTCGCTTACAATATTTTCCAAAACGTTGGCCTGCATTTGATGGACGTAAAAATGTCTTTAGTGCGGGACTTTTGCCATTTGGCGAAACTGTAAGTAAAATGAAAGGTGTATTTTTTTTCTTACTTTTTGGTTTTTTTTTCTTTTTTTTTAAAATTTTTTTGTAATTTTTTTTTTTTTTTTGAGGAAATTTATAAAAATTTGAATGTAACCTTTTTTTTGAATTTTTTAAATTAGAAAGCAATTTTTTGGGATTTTTATTTTAATTTACAAAAATTGGAATGTGAAATGTTTTTTTTTTTTTTTTTTTTTTTAAATTTTTTTGTTTATAAAAATTAGAAAATAAATTCGTTTTTTTTTTCTTTTTTCCTAGACGGAACAAGAGGTGGAAGTACCAAATGATGATGGCCGAATGAAAAAATTCAAAATAACATTAAATAAAGTTAATGACATTGACATTGGTTGGCTAAAACATGTGAAAAAAGGTTTACCGGAAACGGAACGAGATTTAATTAGTATACAAGCATTGGATATTATTTTACGACAAGCGCCACTAAAGGCATTAAATGTCACTGCGGTAAGGAATATTTTTTTTTTTTTTTTTTTTTTTTTTTTTACAAAAATTTCTTTTTATAAATATTAGAGTGTCTAATGGTCAGGGAAAAGTCGGGAAATTTCTTCAATTTTCTGGATTTTTTTAAAAAATAATTTAAATTAAATAATTATTTACTACTACTTATTGAATTTAATAAATGATTTTTTAAATTTGGATAACAATTAATTAATTTTTTTCCAGTGAAATATTTGGTTTATTCAATATAAATCAAAAATTATTTGAATTTTATTTTAGCGGTTTCAATTTCAAATAAAGTAAATTATTCATTAATACGAATAATTTATTATTGAATTGCTAATAACTGACATTTAATTTATAAAAATTTTTACACCGTCGAATATTAAATTATCGAATTTCTATTTTTGAAAATTGTATATAAAGTGGATTTTATATTATCTGAAAAATTTTCAATTTACATTTAACTATAATTCGATTTAATTTCTATTTAGCAGAACTTTTATAAAGCATTTTTTCTAATACTTTTTTTTTTAATTTTAAATTATAATGAAATTATTTTACAACACTGTTTAAATATTTTTGTTTTTTGCTTTTTATTTATTTTATTTCCCTTATTTTCTAGGTGGGACGCTCATTTTTCACTCCACCAAGTGGACACGTCGCTTATCTCGGCGATGGCGTTGAACTTTGGGTTGGACTTTTCCAATCGGCTGTCCTTGGCTGGAAACCATTACTCAATGTCGATGGTATTTATAAATTTTCAATTTCTTTTTCATTTAATTTAATTTTTTTTTTTTTTTTTTTAATAGCAAATTCCAATTTTTCATCCTTTTTCAATTTTTAAACAATTAATTTTTAATTTATGATTTGAAAATTCTTTTTTTTAAAGTTGCTCACAAAGGATTTCCAAAATCGCAAAAAGTATTGGATTTAATGGCCGAATTATGTCGTACAAATGATTATCCAACAAGACGCGATGTTGATTATAATCGTGAGGAAATTGAAAAATTTTTAAAACGATTAAAAGTAAAATGTGAAATTCCCGGACAAGCTGAAACAAAACGCACTTATACAATTAATAAATTGGTGAAATGTCCAAGGGACAATTATTTTGAACATCAAAATAAACAAATTAGCGTTGAACATTATTATTTGATTGAGAAAAAATATAAAATTCAATATCCCGAATTGCCATGTCTTCATGTTGGACCAATTCAGAAAAATATTCACGTACCACCAGAGGTAATTATATACTATTTTTATTTTTTTGGTTTTTTTTTTTTTTTGTTTTTTCTTCATTCATAAATTTTTATTTTTTTAAATTTAAAAATTATTTTAATTTTTTTTTTTTTAATTTAAAATTTTTTTTTTCTTTTATTCTTTTGGAACTTTTATACTTTGGGAAATTTTTCTTTTGGAATTTTTATACTTTGAGACATTTTTATTTTGGAACTTTTAGACTATGGAACATTTGTAATTTTGGATTTTTTATACTCTGGGAAATTTTTATTTTGGAATTTTTATACTTTAGGACATTTTAATTTTGGAATTTTTAAACTTTGGGACATTTTAAATTTTGGAATTTTTAGACTTTAAAACATTTTAATTTTGGAATTTTTATACTCTAGGAATTTTTATACTTTGGGACATTTTAATTTTGGAAGATATTTAAATTTTTAAATTTTTATACTTTGAGAAATTTTAATCTTGGAATTTTTATACTTTGAGAAATTTTAATTTTGTAATTTTTATAATTTGGGACATTTTAATCTTGGAATTTTTATACTTTGAGAAATTTTAATTTTGTAATTTTTATAATTTGGGACATTTTAATTTTTGAATTTTTATACTTTAAGACATTTTAATTTAGGAATTTTTACACTTTAGGAAATTTTTAATTTGTAATTTTTATAATTTGGGACATTTTAATTTTAGAATTTTTATACTTTGGGACATTTTAATTTAGGAATTTTTACGACTTTGGGAAATTTTTAATTTGTAATTTTTATAATTTGGGAGATTTTAATTTAGAAATTTTTTTACTTTGGGACATTTTAATTTTAGAATTTTTATACTTTGGGACATTTTAATTTGTAATTTTTATAATTTGGGACATTTTAATTTTTGAATTTTTATACTTTGGGACATTTTTATTTAGGAATTTTTACACTTTGGGAAATTTTTAATTCGTAATTTTTATAATTTGGGACATTTTAATTTAGAAATTTTTATACTTTGGGACATTTTAATTTTGGAATTTTTATACCTTGGGACATTTTAATTTAGGAATTTTTACACTTTGGGAAATTTTTAATTTGTAATTTTTATAATTTGGGACATTTTAATTTAGAAATTTTTTTACTTTGGGACATTTTAATTTTAGAATTTTTAAACTTTGGGACATTTTAATCTTAGAATTTTTATAATTTGGAAAATTTTTATTTTAGAAGTTATTTTAATTTTGGAATTTTTATACTTTGGAAAATTTTTCTTTTAGAAATTTTATACTTTGGAAAATTTTATAAATTTTTTTTTTAAAAGTATAGTATTTATTATTGAGTGTTTTTTTTTTTTTTAAATTCATTTATTAATTAATTATTAATTTATTTATGTAATTATTTATTTTATTCATAGAAACGGAATTATTAATTATTATTCTTTTCTTTCAGTTGTGTACAATTTTACCTGGACAAGCGACAAATAAAAAAATGAACGAACAGCAAACGTCAAATATGATTAGACATGCTGCAACAGGAACTGATATAAGAAGGCAAAAAATAATGGATTCCGTAAGTTTTTTTTTTTTCAATTATTATATATATATATTTTTTTAGTTTTATAATATTTTTTTTTTGGTTTTAATTCATAATTTTCATTTTATATTTCTTTAATATTTTTTTTATTATATTTATTTTTTTTTATTTTACTTAAACTTTTTAATTATTTGCAATTTATTACTATTTTATTTATTGTTTTTTTTTTTTTTGAAATTTATTTTATATATATATATTTTTTTGTATATTCATGTGAAAAATAAAATCTATTTATTTTCTTTTTGATTTGTTACAGTTCAATAAAATTCGTCACAATCAAAATCCATGTTTAAATGAATTTGGATTGTCAATTAGTGGCGAATTTGAAAAAGTAAAAGCACGTGTATTGGATCCACCTGTTCTCACTTACAATCGTGATGTTCATGTTTCAAGAGGCGTTTGGCGAGCCTCAAATTTTTTGGATCCAAAATCATTGCTCGATAATGAATGGACAATTTTATGTTTAGATAATAGAACCAGAGAGGATTCATTGCGAAATTTGGAACAAAATCTTCGAAGAGAAGGTAAAAAAAAAAAAAAAAAAAAAAAAATTCTGTCATTTAAAAATTCATTGTTTTTATTATTTAATTTTTTTTTTTTTTGATTTCTTACAGCCGGAAATTTAGGAATGTCCATTGGCTGTGCACGTACGCCTTATGGACAACTTCAAGCGCCAACACGTAGCTTACAAGATGTCATTAGATTTTTCAACGATGCAAAAAGAAATAAATTAAAATTGGTATTTGTCGTTGTTCCTGATAGGCCACCAAATATTTACAGTTGAGTAATTAATAATAATAATTTTTATTTATTTTTTATTAATGAAAATTAAAAAAAAAATTTTTTTTCTTTTCTATTTAAGGTAAAGTAAAGCAAGTCGCAGAATTAAATGTTGGCGTTTTAACGCAATGTTTGAAATCACAAACGGTTTTTAAAAAATTAAATCCAGCAACAATGGGTAATATTTTGTTGAAAGTTAATGCAAAACTTGATGGAATTAATCATACATTCAGCGTAAAAGCAAAGTGAGAATTTTTTTTTTATTTTTCTATAAATTTATTTATTATTAATTATTAAATTTATTTTTTTTTTTTTTATTGATTATAAAATTTAGCATTTTTTTCTTTTTTTTCCAGTTGCAGACCAAACTGTTTATCTGAACCGTGTATGATTGTTGGAGCAGATGTGACACATCCATCGCCTGATGCAATTGGAATTCCATCAATTGCTGCAGTAAGAAAAAATTTTTTTTTTCTATTTTGCCATTTCGATTTTTATTAGTTAAATTTAAATTAAAAATGTATCAAAAAAAAAATTTGTTTAAATTTGTTTTTTTTTTTTTTTAGGTTGCCGCGAGTCATGATCCAAAAGCATTTAAATACAATATTGTCGTTCGTTTACAACCGCCGAGAGCTGAAATTATTCAAAATTTGGAAGAAATTATGGGAATACAGTTGCGAACATTTTATGAAAAAACTAAACAAAAACCGAAGAAAATAATTTTTTACAGGTGCGTTAAAGTATATTTGTTTTTGTTTTTATTTATTTTTTTCGTTTTTATTTATTATTTATTTTGTTTTTTGATTTTATTTGAAAAAAAAAAACAAATATTAATAAAACTAATAAATTGAAAGAAAAATTGTATTTTATTATTATTATTATTATTATTTTTTTTTAATGAAGCAAAAAATAATCATTTTTTTATTTTTGCTCTTCAATCTTTTTTTTTTTTACAGAGATGGTGTGAGCGAGGGACAATTTCCACAAGTGATGTATTATGAATTAAAAGCAATTCGAAATGCGTGCAAAAGATTAAGTGCAGATTATGAACCGAAAATTTCATTTTTTGTTGTTCAAAAACGTCATCATATTCGATTATTTCCAACTGATAAATGTAACAGTGACGATAGAAATTTTAATGTTCAAGCTGGAACAATTGTTGATACTGATATTACACATCCATCGCATATTGATTTTTATCTTGTTTCACATGCGAGCATTCAGGTAATTTTTTTTTCATTTATTTATTATATTATTAATTATTAATTATTTTATTTATTTAACAAGTAAACTTTTTATTTAAATTATTTTAATAAATAAATAATTAAATTTTTATTAAATCCGAGTGAAATTAATCAAATTATTATGTCCAAGTAAATGAATAATTAACTTTTACCTTGAAAATTTTAATTAAAATTATTATAATTCACTTTTAAATTTTAATATTACATATATAATAATCGTGAATATCTTTCGTTCATTCTGTCCACACCTGAAGTTAGTATTTGTTATAGGTATTTTGTTATTTTTAAATGTATTGTTTGACATTATTTTGTGTTGGTTAAAATTTTTCAATGTTTTTTTGGCATTGTTTCGATAATTAATTTTGAATCGAAATTTTAAAAAATAATTGAATTTTATTTTATTTTAAATTGAAAACTTGGTAAATAATTGAATTTTAAATTGAAAATTTGAAAATAATTTAATTTTTGTTGATTGAAAATTTTGATAATAATTAATTTTAGTTGATTGCTGATTGAAAATTTTGATAATAATTAATTTTGACTCGAAATTTTGGAAAATAATTAAATTTTAATTGAAATTTTCGATAATAATTTAATTTAAGTTGATTTTGGATTAAAATTTCGGGTAATAATTGAATTTTAATTGAAATTTTCGATAATAATTTAATTTAAGTTCATTTTTAATTAACAATTTCGATAATTAATTTTGAATAAAAATTTTAAAAAATAATTGAATTTTATTTCATTTTAAATTGAAAACTTGGTAAATAATTGAATTTTAAATTGAAAATTTTAAAAATAATTTAATCTTAGTTGATTGAAAATTTTGATAATAATTAATTTTAGTTGATTGTTGATTGAAAATTTTGATAATAATTAATTTTTGACTCGAAATTTTGGAAAATAATTGAATTTTAATTGAAATTTTGGATAATAATTTAATTTAAGTTGATGTTGAATTAAAATTTCGGGTAATATTTGAATTTTATTTAATTTTAAATTGAAAACTTGGTAAATAATTGAATTTTAAATTGAAAATTTGGAAAATAATTCAATTTTATATATAATTTAATAACATATAATAATAATTTTCATTATTATCATTTAATATGAAATAATATTCTAATAAATTTAAATTATTATTGATAATATTAATCTTTAATTTCTTTATAACAAACAATTAAATACTCAATTTGGCGCGCTTGCGCGTGTTTAATATTGCTAGTAGAATATAAAAATGTACCTTTTAATAAAAATCAAAATTTACTTAAATTTTATTCAAAAATAGAAAATTTAATTGAAATAGAATAAAAAATTAATGCTTTTCATTTAAATTATTTTAATACACGAAAATAAATAAATTATTATTATTTTTATGTATTTTTTTTTGTTTTTGTTTTTTTCATTTTTTATTCATTTTTTTTCTCGTAATTTTTGTTAAATATTTTTATTTTATTTTCATCCAAAGAATTGAATTCAATTAGTTTTCATTAAATTGTTATAAAAAAAAAATGGAAACCAAAATTTAATTAATTTCATTAATTTTCTATATATTATGAAGAATTGAAATCTAAAGTGTTTTTTTTTTTTTTTTTGTAATTTCTTTTTTTTTAAATAGGGAACAGCGAGACCAACGAAATACAGATGTCTTTGGGATGACAGTGACATGAGCGAAGATGAAATTGAACAATTGACGTATTATCTTTGTCATATGTTTACAAGATGCACAAGATCAGTGAGTTATCCAACTCCGACATATTACGCTCATTTGGCCGCATTCCGAGCTCGTGCATTGACACAGGAGTAAGTGATAATTTTTTTTTTGTAAATAAATAAGAGCGAAAAAAAAATTTCTATTTTTTATATATATATTTTTTTAAAAACAAATTTTCCCTGCAATTTTTATTTATTCTTTTTTTTTTTTTTTGAATCCATAAAATTTAAAATATATTTAAATTTCAACAGCATTGAATTTTCATTTTATTCCTTTAAATGAATTTTCATTTGTTTGAATTATTATTTTTAGTTTTTAAAAAATTATTAACCGGTTCTTTGATTGTGATCCTCAATTAATTAATTAAAATAAATTTTGTAAATTAATTGATTTTTTTATCGCAAAAAAAAATAAAAAAATTTTCTTTATTTTCAGCGTTCAAATTGATGTCAATAATTTGGAGCAGGAACAAAAAACAAAATTGACAATCAAAGAGGATTTCAAAAATAATCCCATGTTCTTTGTTTAAGGAATAATATTTTCAAAAGGAAAAAAAAAGAATTCCATCATTTAGATCTGTTTCCCCTTTTTTTTTTGTTAATAAATAAAGGGAAATCATTTTTTTTTCTCTCTCTATTATTACAGTATTTTTTAATTGCTTTAATACATATATATATATATATATATAAGTAAAGAAAACTTTATTTTCATCAAATATTTTATATATTTTTTAATAGAAAAGTATTCAGTGGATAATTTTCACTTGACTGATTGCAAAAAAAAAAAGAAATAAAATTTTTTTTTTTTAATTTCTAAATGAAAAATAAAAATCAGTGAGTGATATTTAATAGTAGACTGATAAAAAAAAAATGTATCTATAATATAATGTTTATTCTTTGGGAATTATATTCTTAAATGATTATAATAATAATGTGATAATAATTATTATTATTATTATTTAAGACAAAATTTTTATTTTATTATATTTGATTTCTTTTTTCGACATTATAAATAGATATATTTTTCTGTAACAGTATAATATATATATATATAAATTATCTTGTGCTTAAATATTTTCGTATTTGATGGAAATTGTTTTTTTTTTTGTATTAAAATTCAATATTATTGAATAATATAAATATATATAATAATCATTGTTATCATTCTTGTAATAAATTTATAAGATGAAACGCATTTATTGTAAGAGATGGTTTACTCTCGATTTAATCTGTTTTTTTTTCCCCCTTTTATCAATAAAAAAATAAAAAAAAGAACCAAATGATGATTTAATTTTCTTTTTATTTTACCGGCAAATCGACAAAATTGTAAAATTTATTTATTTTTTTTACAGTTTTTAAAGCAATAAAATTTAATATTTTTTTTTTTACAGTTTTTGAAGCAATAAAATTTAATATTTTTTTTTTTATTTATTTATTTTTCAATCCGATCTACAATTTTTAATAGTTTAATATTTATTTTCTACTTATTTTTTTTTTTTCTCTTTAAATCTAAAAAATTTAATAATTTGGTTTTAATTTTATTTTTTCTTACGAATCTACAATAAAAAAAAAAAAAATAATAAAAAATTTATTATTAATCTTTTTTTCTATTTTCTATTAATTTTACTTTTGCAAAATTAAAAATTTTTCATATATGAAGTACGTAATTACTTTTTTTTTTACTATTATTGACACTATTACAAATGTTATAGTTATTTTTGCTAAGATTTTAGTAATTTTTATCTGAACTATTTCTCCTATTTTCTATGAAAATTGTAATTTTCACTAAAAAGAAATTGGAATTTCGCGCCATTAGTATTTTCTTTTGCCATTTCATAAGGTTGGTATTATTTAATGTTCAAAAATTTGCAGAGGCAATCAGCTTTCAAAAAAAAAAAAAAATATATATATAAATAAAAATATTATTATAACAGTTATAATTATTATTATAACATAATAAGTAAATAATACAAATAAAAAAAACAGATAAAAATAAAAACTACATCATTACTTGATACATCCCTGATATTTTTTTCAAATTTCAATTTTTTTTTAAAGGAAATCTTCATATTCTTTTTTTTCATTTCCTGATATATTTCAGAGTTTTATTAACTTGTAATTATTTATTAAATTATTATGAATAGATTTAATATTTATTTTAAAAAAATTTTAAATTATATTTAAAAATTTTTTTCCCCAGTTGCGAATGGCAACGGGTTCCCAAACACCCCCATCCATGTTAATACGTCCCTGTCCGTTGTTGCAGTTTTCCGTTTAAAAAATATATATTGTAGTTTAAAAATGGCGGCCGTGCAGTTCGTGCCGGTCAATTGTTTTCGTTTATATAAATAATTGAAAACTATTTTTTAATCAAAATATTATTAAACAATTTTCAATTTAAAGTGAAAAGTAATAATTTAAAATTGATTTTATTATTTTCATATTACAAAATAGTATTATAAATATATATATATATCTATAATTTTGCTTCGACAGTGATTAAAATTTCAATATTTTTATATATTGCATGTGTAAAAAGCATCTTTATAAACATTTTTTTTTTTACTTATTCACATCATCACAGAAGAAACACGGAAGATTATTCTATTTGAATTTTAAAGGTTAGTATTCGTTTTTTTCGTATTATACAAGAATGATAATAAATTATAAAATTTTCTGTTACTTTTTTTTTAATATATATATGTACGATGCATGAAACATTTATTTTTTTTTAATGCGGTATTCAAATTACATTTCTGTTATCGTTGTTTTGTTTACATTCCGAGGAGTGAGCGAGAAAAAAAAAAATGTCTACTAAAAATTTCTACTGTTTTAATAAAAAAAAAAATTTACAATTGTATTTAATTTGAGTAACAAATAATTTATAATTATTATTGCAAATTAATATCTTCCTTTAAATTAATTTTTATATATCGTTAAAATTGCAAAAAAATCTCATATTATTTTATTTCATTTTCAAAATGAAATTTAATCAACAAATTTTTAGGTTAAGTTTTTATTTATTATAATTATTACTTTTGTAACGGACTTTTTAATTAAACAAAACAAATAATAAAAATAACAAATTTACAATTGATAATAATTAATCAATAAAATTTAATATATTATTATTATTATTATTATTATTATTATTATTTATTATATTTGTTATTGTTTATTTAAATATTTTTTAACTAATTTATTTAAAAGATTTATTTGTTAATATTTTTTTTGTTTTTAAATAAATTAACTAATTCATTAAATTTTTTTAATAAAAAAAAAAAATATTTCTAATTGTTAGAAAAAAAATTAATTTCTCTATTTAAAAAATTAAATTACTAATTTTATTAAATAATATAATTCAAATTAAATTTTTCAAAAACTAAATTTCATGACAAATTTATTATTCTTTTTCTTTATTATTATTATTATTATTATTATTATTATTATTATTATTATTATTATATATAATAATACCTAATAATAATAATAATAAATTTATATATATATATAAAATTTATTTATAATAAAATATAAATTATATAAATAAATATTTACTTGAATCAAATAATTTTTATTTGAATTAAATAAATTGTATCTGAACCAATAATTTTTGTATTTAAAACAAATGCCATTTTAATTAACTCAAATAATAATAATAATAATTATTTGAAACAAATAAATATTTATTTCATAATAGTCAAGTAACCAATTATTTGAATCAAATAAATTTTTTTTTTTACTATGCCTTAAAAATATTTCTATTAAAATTTTGTATTTATTTAAAAAAAAAAAAGAACAATATTTTATAAAAAAAAAAAATACTAATTTTCTTCACACATAGAATATTTTTCTTTAGAATTACACTCGACAATTGTTATACAAAATATTTAATTATTGAAGAAAAGAAACATTAATAATGGATCGAATGTCGGCATATAGTATTTATACATAATTTATTGTTCTCGCAAAAAAGGTTTTTCTTAAGAAAATTGATTTTTTTTTTTTTTTTTTTTTTCGGTGTTTCAAAGATGCTTTCAACTTGAATCGTTCGTAGTTGTCGTTTATTCATAGGTGAAACGAGCGAACTTACAACATATATATATATATATGTATATAAACGATGCTATTCTGAAAAGACGGTCTTTATATACATATATCTATAAAGTATACAACATACCTACCTTGCAAATGTACATACATACAGTACCTAAGAGGTCATTGACCGTGGATGATCTATCGACGTCAATAGATTCCTCGACCTATAAATTCCACAATATATTTTCATAACAATCTCGCTCAGCTCATTGTCGTTGAATTTGATATTTTCTTTTCATTGTTATAGAATTTATCGATTTTTGTAAAATTTTAGAATTTATTTCTTTGCAGAATTAAATTTCTAATTCAATTAAAAAAAAAAAAAAAAAATAGGGTATTTTGAGTTAGTATTTTCATTATAATTTTTATTATTATTATTAAAAATAGTCATTATAGGGTACTTTATCATTTAACAATTTTAATTGGACAGTTATAAATAGCTATACTTAAGAGTAGCTATATAATGAACTTTCTTGAAATTTACAGAAAGTTTAGAGAGAGAGACGATCGATATGTTGAGAGTAACATTTTCAGACAACTGCGCACTTGCTTATAAGGACAATTGAAGTTCGAATGGAAGATTTCATCATCAATGCGCTTTAGGGGGTTATAGAAAAAGAGAGTGAGTTGAATGAGTGAGAGAAAGAGAGCGAGAGAGAGGGGGGGGGAACTGTCGGTTAAAATTCGAGAGAGATTCCGATATACGAGTAGTATAGTCACCCTCGACTTTTGTAAGGGGAACCCGTGACCTTCAACTTCAAACCCTTCCTTCACCCATGGGACAACGATGAGGACAAACAACATAGGGCTTTCTCTTTCCGCTTTCCCCCATTGATTCGAGAACTCATGAATGGGCGCGAAAGTCGACCCTCCCTTTCGCTGAATACAATTTATCATTATTATCATATATATATATATATTTTTTTTTTCATTCATTCAACATTTCTCAATTTTTGTATTAGAGACTATAATTTGATAATAATTACATTTATGATAAGAATGAAAGTAATTTTGTTTTTCTATTGTAGAAAATTTTATTTTTTAGACTATGATTTATTTTTTTTTATTTCATTTGATGAGAATGACAATAATTTTCAATATCTAATATTGTGTTTATTTTCTTTTTCAGGTGGAATCGAAGTGCGGACAACGAAAATGTGTTTTTTATAGAAAACTAAATCGTAATAAATAAAATACAAGAACATAGTTCAACAAAAGGCGATAAAAGAGCCTCACAGAGTACAATATATTGCTGTAAGATTACAGAAAGCATGTTGCAAGCTTATGCATGTTTAGTTCGTAAGATTAGTTTATAAATCAGTAGTAAATGAAACGCATCAATAAGTCCTAAATTTCATAAGACAGAATTTTATTTATTTTATATTTTTTATTTAATTAAATTTTCACTTAATCATAATTTCTATATTTTAATATTGATTTCAAATTTGATTTTCATTTTTAAAAATATACTCTATATTAAATAAAAGTTTGGTTAAATAAATATTTGCTAACAAAAGAATTTGTTTGGAAGTTTTTTGTTAATTACTAATTCAGAGAAACGGAAATGGCTAAAAGAAAACTAATGAAATTTTGTTAATTAAAAATTCCAACTAATGAATTTTTAGGAATTATTAATGCGTTTCAACAAATTGGTTTCGGGAATTTTTGGTGTTGGTTAAATCCAAATCTGGTTAAAATTAAAATTTTCTTTTGGTCTACATTTTTAATTTTTTTACTTTTGACTAGATTTAGATTCAGTGAATGTTGGATTCTTATAAAACTTGGTATTAAAGGGAGTTTAATTTTTTTTTATTTTTTGCTTTTTTATTATTGTAGTTTATGTAGAAGTTATTAGAGTTGATAATTATGAATCTAAATTCAAAAATTCCTGTACTAAAAATGTTATTAAAAATTCGTATTGCATCCTTCATTTTTGAATTTTTCTCAGTTAAAATCTTTTAAATGTCAGTTTCATAAAAATTGAATTACGCAGGGAAAAAAATCTTTATTTGGAACAGCGATATGTGTCTCTAGAATATCGAAAACTTTCGCTGTTTTAGTAAAACATATCGCTATTCCAGGTGAAGATTTTTTTTCGTGCGAAATTTCCGATTCGTTTATATTTATAAATGTAGAATTAAACAAAATTTCTCGAATTTACGTCACAAATTTTGGCCCCTTCTGTTAAAATTTTCAAATTTTATTACCAGGGGCCAACATTTATGACGTAAATTCAAAACCTCAATTAAAATAAAAGAGTCAGAATTTTCCGTGTTTTTCTGAAATGTAGGGAAAAAAAGAGAGGGGGTGTCGGAGGGGTAGATGTAGAGGTAGAGGTGGTAAAGACTGATCTTCCTCAATGTTGTTGATGATAAGGGAAAGAATCGATAAGAACAGGGAGTCAGGATACATATATATATACATATAAGGCTCGGAGTCCTCGATTAGGGTTGTTTACACGAAGAATAAAATCTACAAGAAAACAGAAGCCAAGTCGCCGCGCGCTTTTTCTCCTTCTCTTTTTAATAAATACCCCTCTCTCTCTCTTTCTCTCAATCTTGTCTCGTGACTCACGTGACCCGGCCTCTCTATTGATTACGCGGGGGTGCATGCGCCCTTGCACAATTTCTGGTACCAGGGAATGACGTTTCCGCGGTTTAAACGAGAAAGACTTGCCTATATTCTCAAAAAAGGGGGTGGTATGAGGTGATTCGTCCCCCCCTCCTCTTTCCCTCGATAGAGAATCTTTCAACGACACCACCACACTACCACCATCAGTCGCTTATCGTTCAAAGGAATAGCTCTATCTTTTTTTTTTCGAAAAAACAAAAGTCGTGGACATGAGACACCAAATTTGTGTCAGGTAAAAATTTTCCTTTTTGTGAAAAAAAAATAAAAGAACCGGTATTGTGAAATTTGTTTCGATTTTTTAGTTCATGTGTTTTATTTATTTTTTTGCGCTTTAAGTGAAATTTTTTCAGTATAAGGAAATTTGTTTTAAATAATTGTTTATATTAAAGTGAATCATTTTTTTCGGTTGTAAATTATCGAAAAGTGAGAGAAAATTGGATAATTTTGTTTTTCGAGTTCAAATTGTATTGGGATTTGGAAAAATGTTTTTTAAATACGTTGTGAATTATTGGAATTTTCCGTGTCTCGAGTAGATATATTATTAAAGCAATAAGTAGTCGATTAAAAGGTTTCATTTTGGTCTTAATTGTGTATTATAACCAAAAAGAAAAATTCTATTAATGTTTATAAAGAAATAATTTAATTTAATTTAAATCATTATTTATGTAATCTACGATTAAACATGAAATAGTTAGGGGTCGATTATATATTCTTTACATAATTCCCAAAGTTCGTGTATCGTCCGTTTCGTTGTCTTTAGACTCAGAAATAATTTGACATAGATTTTTTTTATTTCGCCTACTCAGTTATTTGGTTCGTAGTACATAGTTTCTTGCATCGATTTTCGCAATACTTAAATTTTCTTTTTAAATATTGTTCGAATTTATAAAAAGTAGTGTTTTTTTTACGCATTTAGAATTTTACTTCGTAATTCCGACGAAAATTCTCTCTTCCGTCGGAATTTTATGTTCATTTCAAGCAAAAAATCGAAGGAAAATTATTAATTTTATTATTTTAGCGGAAACGGGAAGGTCTTCTTAGAGATTCGGTCAGAATTCGGACAATAATTTTTTCCGATATTTATATATATATAAAAAAAAAATAAATCAATATTTTTGAAATAAAATTCTGGTTTTCATTTTTGATTCCAGGATTGAATTTTAAGAGATCAAGTGTGAAAAAGAAAAAAAAGGGGAGATTTGGATTGACATGTCAATGCTAGGAAAATTGTGGTGACCTAGCATCCTCCATTTATTGGACGACCTTCGATGCTTAAGCTACGCTTGGTGACAACTCACTTTTTAAAACAGCCATAGGCAGTGCCCTGAGCCTGGCAAAAGGGGCCAATAAATATAATGTGCCGCGATTGGGACATGAACCCAAAAAAAATTGCTTATCAAACATTTCAATTGTTGTAATAATTGTCATCTTGGTAAAACGATTAAAAAAAAAAAAAAAACCTACTACAACAACCAAGAAACAGTTCCTGTATAATCAGGAACAAAAACGTTTATAATCACGTCTAAGTACGGGCAACTCCTCATTAAATTTCACAATTTTCATCTACCGCGAATTAAAAAAAAGAAAAAAAACTTTACATTTCAATAGAATTCAAAAACAAATAAGAAAATTTTGCACATTTTTTGTATAAAAAAAAAAAAAAATTGTCACTCATGATTATACACTGAAAAGAAAAAAAATTGAAAGAGAAGATTTTTTTTCGAAAGATTTAAAAAGAACTTTTTGGAAAGAAGTTTGCTGTTTTTGTTGAGACGGATTTTGTTTTTGTGTTTTTGAACGAGGAGAGACAGAGAGAAAAAGGAGATTAAAAAACGAAAAAAAAAAATAAAAATAATAAAGCGACACTTGGGAAGGAGTCAGCTTTCAGGCTGAGCGCTTACGCCAACCTGTGGAGGGTAGCGAGAGAGTGTATTGTGAGTATTAATTAATATTATTATTATTTGAATTTTGATTTAAAAATTTTTTTTAATTGCCTTATTAATTCAAAAAAAAACGTAAAAACAAAAATTTAATGATTCAAAAAATGTAAAAAAAAACAACAAGAATTTGTTAATTAAAAAAAAAGTTAATTTAAAAAAATGTTTTTTTTCCAGTGCGGCAGTGGGTCGCGGTGCCGAAAAAGTGGGATGAGACGACCTCAGCAAGAGTCTGAACAACATAATAATCATGGAACAACAACAGCAACAACAACAACGAATCAGATGCACGAAAAGGTAAATTTGCACAAATTAATTAAAATTATATTAAATCACTTTTTTTCTTTTTTTTCGAATGCTTTATTTTATAATGTACAGCAAGTAAAAATTTTTTTAAGCGATAATAAATCTATTATTTTGAATTTTTAAAATCTGGCCTCATATTCGTAATCAACAACCCAAAAAATCCCCGAGTAACAAGTTTTAGGCGATTTTAATCAATTTTTCAAAAAATTTTCTACCATATTAGATCCGCCATTTTGAATGTTTAAAAACTGATAACACATTCGTTATTAGCGATCCTAAACCCCCCCCCCCAAGTAGTAAGTTTCATAGAAATTAAAACGATTCTTAAATTTTTGTCCGCCATATTGGATCCGCCATTTTAAATTATGAAAAACTGATATCAAATTCGTAATCAGCGACCACAAAAACCCCCGAGTAACGATTTTTAAGCGAATTCAATTGATTTTTGTAAATTTGTCAGCAATATTGGATCCGCCATTTTTAATTTTGGAAAACTGCCATCGGATACGTAATCATTGGCCCCAAAAGAACAGATTTTGATATAGATCTGAATAAATGTAATTATTAATTTTTTCAAATTTCTACAGAGGACGTGACTAATAAAAAGGCGTGTCTAATTAGACACACCCCTTAATAGTTTACGCCCCATTTTTTCTAAATTTAAAAACATAAAAGTTTAAATACTACTTTGAACTTTACCTCAAGAATCATTAGTCACGCCCCTTAATTAGGCACACCCCCTTTATTAAACACACCCCTTAAACAGACACGCCCCATTTTTATAAATTCAAAAAAAAAAACAATATAAAAATTTGGATAATACTTTAAATTCGGCCTATGGAATTATTAATTAGTCACGCCACTTAATTGCACGCTTAATTAAGTGAAGTAACTTATTAATAATTCCAAAGGCGGAATTCAAATTAATATTTAAACTTTTTTATTATTATTTTGAATTTATGTAAAATGGGGCGTCATCTATAAGGGGCGTGACTAATTGATAATTTTAAAAAAAACTCCATGAATTATCCAAACTTATTTTTTGAATTTAAAAAGAATGAGGCGTGACATATTAAGGGGCGTGTGTAATGAGACACACCACTTAATAGGTCACGCCCCATTTTATCTAAATTCAAAAAAATAATATAAAAATTTGGATAATACGTTTAATTTTGCCTTTATAATTATTAGTCACGCCCCTTAATTAAACACGCGACTAATAATGGGGTGTGTTTAATTAAGTAGCGTAGCTTATTAATAATTCTAAAGGCAGAATTCAAATTATTATCCAATCTTTTATATTATTATTTTGAATTTATGAAAAATGGGACGTCACCTATAAGGGGCGTGACTAATTGATAATTCCAAAGAAAACTCTGTAAAGTATCCAAACTTATTTTTTAAATTTAGAAAGAATTACGCGTTATATATTAAAGGGCGTGTGTAATGAGACACGCCCCTTAATAAGACACGCCCCATTTTGTTTAAATTAAAAAAAAATAATATAAAAATTTGGACAATACGTTGAATTTTGCCTATGAAACTATTATTTAGTCACGCCCCTTAATTAGCCACATCTCTTAACGAAACACACCCCTTAATAGATCACGCCCAATTTTTATAAATTGAATTTTCAAATTTCAGGACGAATCACGTTTGACAAGAGTGAAACGCGCCCTAACTGGTTCACTATTGGGTCGTGGATCATCATCGGGATCATCGAAACGTATTTTTGGCGTACCATTGGAGTCGTGTGACACATATTTAGATAGTGGCGTACCATTTGTTGTCTATCGTCTTTGTACATACATCGAAAATTATGGCTTTCATTGTCCAGGTGTATTTCGTCTCTCAGGTGGTAATCCACGTTTAGCCGAACGTTTAAGACAAAGATTTGAACATCGTGGCGATGCCGATCTTGAAAGTGCCGCCTGTCCATCGACAGCGGCAACAATTCTTCGTCAATATCTCAAGGAATTACCAAGTCCACTTGTCACGACGTCACTGGTTGATAGACTCCTGCAAGTTTATAAACGTAAGTTTTTATTATTATTTTTTAATTTAAAAAAAAATGGGGAAATGTTTTTTTTTTGTTGTTGGTCAAATTTCGATGAGAATGTTTATATCATTGGTTAAAATGCTTGTAATTGATTATTTTCCATGATGAAAATTCTTGTATATATATATATATATATATTATTTCTTGTTATTTGGAATTAACGGATAGTGGGGCGTGTCTAATTAAGGGGCGTTGCTAATTAATAATTTTATTTTTTAGTTACGCCCCTTAATAAGTCACACCTCATTCTTTCTAAATTCAAGAAAAAAAATTATAATTTTGGATAATTCATAGAATTTCGTCTTTGTAATTGTTAATTAGTCACGCCCCTTAATTAAACACACCCCTTTTAATTACACGCCCCATTTTTTAAATATAATATAAAAGTTTGGATAAAACTTTGAATTCGTCCTTTTGAATTATGAATTAGTAACGCCCCATAATTAGACACACCCCTTGATTAGTTACGCCCCTTCTAAAAATTATAAAAAATATGTAATATAGTAATTTGTATTAGAGAATTTTTAACATTATTAATCAGTCACGCCCCTTAATTAGACTCACCCCCTTTTATTAGATAAGCACCCTCATCCCTTAATTCCAAATAACAAGAAATTTCGTCACTATAATTTTTTATTGACGAAATTCTATGTCTCCTCCACACTTCTATATTTATTATATCTGTTTTTTTTATTAAGAAAGCGTTGGGCGTGACTATTATTAATTCTAGAGGCGAAATTGTAAATTCGTTTAAAGAGAGTGGGGCTTAACTGAAGGGGGCGTGACTAATTAATAATACTAGAAACTAGCGTATCTAATTAAGAAGAGTGAGTAATTAAGGGGCGTGACTGATTAATATTTCCAAAGACGGAATTCAAAGTATCATCCAAATTTTTATATTATATTTTGTATTTAGTTAAAATGGGGCATTACCTATCAAGGGGCGTGTCTAATTAAGAGGCGTGGTTAAGAAAGGGGGTGTGTCTAATTAAGAGGCGTGACTAAATAATAATTTCAAAGGCAAAATTCAACGTATTATCTAAATTTTTTATATAATATATTTTTTGAATTTAGAAAATGTGGGCCGTGACTTATACAGGGGTGTGACATATTAAGGGGCGTGGCTAATTAAAGGGGCGTTACTAATTAATAATTCTACAAACGAAATTTTACACTTTATTTCAAGCATATATTATTGTTTTTAAAACTTGGAGGATGGGCGTGGCTAATAAAGAGGGTGTGTATGTAATTAAGGGGCGTATCTAATTAAGAGGAGTGAGTAATTAAGGGGCGTGACTGATTAATATTTCCAAAGACGGAATTCAAAGTATCATCCAAATTTTTATATTATATTTTGTATTTAGTTAAAATGGGGCATTACCTATCGAGGGGCGTGTCTAAATAAGAGGCGTGGTTAAGAAAGGGGGTGTGTCTAATTAAGGGGCGTGACTAAATAATAATTCTATAGGTGGAATTCAACGTAGTATCTAAACTTTTATATTATTTTTTTTGAATTTATAAAAATGGGGCGTGACCTAATAATGGGCGTGTCTAATTAAGGGGTGTGTCTAATTAAGGGGTGTGTCTAATTAAGGGGCGTGACTAAATAATAATTTCAAAGGCAAAATTCAACGTACTATCTAAATTTTTTTTTATAATATATTTTTTGAATTTAGAAAATGTGGGCCGTGACCTATTAAGAGGTGTGGCCTATTAAGGGGCGTGGCTAATTAAAGGGGCGTTACTAATTAATAATTCTAGAGGCGTAACCATGAATTGTGGGGAGGGGGCATTATTAAATAAAAATTGATTAAATTAATTGTTTTCATTCCCCTATTGTTTTAAAAATAATTTTGATAAAAAAAAAAATTTTGAATATTTTTGAATTAATTGATAATTCTATTTTGTTTTTGTTTTTTTCTCTTTCTAGAATGTTATGCGGCTGATCGTGAGTCTTGGATTAAGGGAACGAAAGAATTGGTTTCGACGCTGCCGCCAAATAATTATCGATTACTCGGCTTTTTGGCTCATTATTTCGATAAATATGAAAGTCTACACGAACGAAATGCAGGAATTTCTTTGGTTTTTGCACCTGTGATTTTGCCCCACGTACCACCGGCGACGAATCTACTTAATGACATTATACGCGATGCTGAGATTCTCTTTTCTGATTGGTGAGTGTTTTTTTTCTTTTTTCTTTATATATATATATATATATATATATATATATAAAATAAAAATTTTAAAATAAAAAAATATATATATATATATATATATATATATATATTTACTATTAATTGATTTTTCTTCGTATTTACCAAAAAAAAAAATTTCTACAATTTTGATTAAGAATTTTTTAATTTAAAAATTTTTACAATTTAGTGCGAATCTTTACGAATTTTTATTTACTCGAATTTTTTATATTTAAAATTCTGAAAAAGGCCACGAATTATGGTATTTTGATTGAAATTGAAAAAAAATGTCCGAATAAAAAAAAACATAACCTACAAAATAAAGGGGAATTTTTAAAAATCGTTCAATTAGAAAATATTTAAGAAAAAATAATTGTGATTGGCCGAATTTTTCAAAAAAATCCGCCAAAATTTTATTTGTAAGTTATGTTTTTTTTTTGTTTTTATTTTTGTTTTTTTTTTTTTTTTGAAAAAATCGTCTAAATAGAAAATTCTGTTTTACTGAAAATTATTTAAAATAAAAATTCTAAACTAATGAATTTTATATAGAATATTATTAATATTAATTATTTTTTTTCCAACCTCAAAATAAATGATATTTTATTATCATCATTATTATATTGTGTGAGCCTTGATTATGAAAATAATTCAAGATTGATATTTTCGTTTCAATGAAACCCACACACGTGTGTATGAACCAACTTTTTTTTTTCACCCTCCTTCGAAAGCGAAAGGTAGAGAGAAAAATTTACTCATGTGAATTCACATCGACTTCCGTATTTAGTCGATATAAATTTTTTTCTTGTGGAAATATTTATTTTTGTATTTTTTTTTTTCTATTTTTTTACTATTTTTTTTCCTACTTTTTTGAAATTGATTTTTTTTCAAATTAAGTGATTGAAATCAAAGCAAAAAAAAAAAATCACGAATTATTGTTTAACAGAATTTTTATTTAAAATTCTATCGAATTTTCCAAAATTTTAATTTCTTTTTTACAATTTGTATTTTATTTAAATTTTTTTAATTGAGTATTTTAAAATTTTTGTTTTTTTCTTTTTTTTCCTCTTTTTTTTTTTAAACGTATCGTGACCGTTACAAGAGAAAAAGTTTTTTTTTTTTATAATTAAGTAATTTGTGTAAATACTAATAACAGGATTAGCGTTATAAAAATTAAAATCATTTCCTACTTTTTTTTACTAGATAAAAAAAATTGTAAACAAACTGTATTAATAGAGAAGGTCAATGATATTTTATTCTTTTTATATATATATATATATATTTTTTTTTTTTATTTTTATTTATTATTTAATTAATAATTAATTAAATATAAATTTTATTTTTTTTATTTATTAATTTATTTTATTTTATTGAACATAATTTTTATTTCCTTTTTTTATTATTATTATTTAATTAATTTAAAATAAATTTTAATTTTTTTATTTACCTATTTTTATTTGATTATTTATTTTATTTCTTTGAATATAAATTTAATTTATTTTTTATTTATTAATTTTAATATATCGAGACACATAAAACTATAAAATATTAGAATTCACTTTTGTCGCTCTCCATTTCCTGTCACAATGTATAATAAAAAGGAAATCAAGACACAGGCAATTCTCTTCAGGGTCGAACTAATTTTTTTTTTTTTTTTTTTTATTTTCATTTTTATTAGGTCACTGATACGAGACAATAAAAACGAAAAAAAAAAAAAAAAAAAATGAAAAAAGAAAAATTTGCAAACTCATTCCCGGTCATTGTATTACCTTCAATTTATATATAAATATAAAAAAAATTTTCTTTCAATTTAAAAAAAAATTTACATTGCTATAATAAATTCGAAAAATTCGGTAAAAATTAAAATTTTAAATTTATAATGACGAAAAATAAATCTTTGATTTCAAATAATTATACAAATTTTTCTTTTTTCGTTTAATTTTAAATTAATTTTAATATTTAATTAAACACTTTTTTATTGTAATTAATGGAAAATAAATTTTTGGAAAAATTCTGCAAATGATAAAAAAAAAAATTCCAAATTTAAAATTGAATAATTTATCATTATTTGTATCTTGCAGTAAAAATTTCAATTTTATTTTGAAACAAAATTTAAAAAATACATAAATTTTAAAATAATTAAAATATAAAAAAATATTTTTGGTAAAAAAAAAAAACTAAAAATTATAAATAGAAATTTTTTTTAAGTTAAATTAAAAGGAATTTAATTTGTAAAACTATATTTTAATGCGTTTCATTACAATCCAGAGATATTTGATATAAAAACAAAGATTGCGGTTTCCTGGTGTAGAAAAAAAAGCAAAAAAAAAAAAAATCTTAAACTACCGGATTTTCGTCTTTAGTAAAGTATATAATTATTCTTTAAATAATTATCGTAATGATAATATTAGAATAATAATAATAATAAATTATAATATATTATTATATTTTATTATATTTAATAATTATATTTTTCAACCAGTTTTCAAATGATAAAAAGGGTTAAAAATAAAAAAAAAAATTAATTTCGAAAAAACGGGGTTAAAAATTTTTTTTCGAAAAAACTATTGTTGGCAGTAAAAAGTACACGAAAAACCCTACAAAAAACCCTATTCACAAATTAAAATCCATAAACTTATGTTAAAGATATTAAGGTCGGAAAATGACAACATCAAATTCTTCTTAATTCGATGTCATTTTCTAACCTATAGAACTTTAACATAAGTTTATGGATTTTAATTTGTAAATAGGGTTTTTTGCAGGGTTTTTCATGTACTTTCTACTGCCAATAATAGTTTTTTCGAAAAAAAATTTTTAACTCCATTTTTCGCGAAATTAATATTTTTTTTTTCACTTCTGCCTCCATTGCCTCAATTGCCAACATAATTATTGCTTTTTTTAAAATTTTTTCCCCCAAAACTTATTGTTTTATAATTTTTATATTTACATAATTTATTGCAAAAAATCTTAGCTTTCCAATGAAAATAAAAAAAAAAAATTAACGTAATAAAAGGGGTTTTAAATGAAAAATAAATCTTAATTTTGTAAAAACAAAGGGGGTTAAAAATATTTTTCTTTTTGTTAAATAACTATGTTTTAAAAAAAAATTCAGCTTTGAAATGAAAATAAATAAAAAAAAAAAAAAAAAACAAGGAGAAAAGAAGATTAAACCAAAAAATGTGGATTAATTGCCAAAAAAATTGAGTTAAAATTTTTTTTTTCTAAAAAACTATTGAAGGCAATAAAAAGTACACGAAAAACCCTACAGAAAACTCTATTCATAAATTAAAATCCATAAACTTGTGTTAAAGTTATGTAGGTTAGAAAATGACATCGAATTGAGAAGAATTTGAAGTTGTCATATTCCGACCTTTTTATCTTTGACATAAGTTGATGGATTTTAATTTGTAAATAGAGGTTTTTGCAGGGTTTTTCATGTACTTTTTACTGCCGATAATAGTTTTTTTCGAAAAAAATTTTTAACCCCCTTTTTAACCAAATTAAGATTTATATTTCATTTTTCATCTCTTTTTACACATTAATTTTTTTGTTATTTTCATTGGAAAGCTAAGATTTTTGCAATAAACTATGTAAATGTAAAAATTGGACAACAATGAATTTGTGCAAAAAATGTAAAAAAAAAAAAAAAAAAAAAAAAAAAAAAAACCAACAATTTTGTTGTCAATGGTGACAGAAATGAAAAAATAAATATTAATTTCGCAAAAAATGGAGTTAAAAATTTTTTTTCGAAAAAACTATTATTGGCAGTAGAAAGTACATGAAAAATCCTTGCAAAAACCCCTATTTACAAATTAAAATCCATAAACTTATGTTAAAGATATTAAGGTCGGAAAATGACAACATCAAATTCTTCTTAATTCGATGTCATTTTCTAACCTATAGAACTTTAACATAAGTTTATGGATTTTAATTTATGAATAGGGTTTTTTGTAGGGTTTTTCGTGTACTTTTTAATGCCAACAATAGTTTTTTCGAAAAAAAATTTTTAATACCGTTTTTTTCCAAAATTTACCCTTTTTCATTATTTTTTGACTCCATTATTTTTATTACTATGATTATTTATTTATTATTATTATTATTATTATTATTATTATTATTATTATAATTATTATTATTCTAATAAAATAGACGTTTTATATTATTGATTTCTATCAATAAGTTGTCAGACGATTGAATATGGTTTATAAATTGATATCCGGTCTCTGATTGTAAATTGAAGTGCAAAACGTGATTTATGATAAGCAAACCATTAGAAACGAAGTGCAATCGATTGGAGAACGAGTGTCAATGCCTCGACCTGACAAATAAATTATTCACGTAAAGATTGCACTATTTATCACTTGACAGTTTTTTTTTCTTCTTTTTCTCTCGTCTGCTTTATTCTCTTTTTTTTTATTTATACATATAATACATATAGTCAATAATTATTTTTATGCTCTTTTTATTTCAATTCTAATAAATTAATTTCATAATTTACATTTCAAATTACTTTGCTTATTTTTTTTTAAAGATTTATTTAACAATTTTTTTTTATTTTTTGTTTAATTTTATTGTAAATTATTTAATAATTTTTTTTTTATTTTTTGTTTAATTTTATTATTGTAAATTATTTTTCATAATTTTTTTTTTCATTTTGTTTATTATATTGTTTTTTTTTTGAATTTAACATTAAAAAAACAATTACTGGAATTTTTACCACACTAAAAGGTAAATTTTACAATATTATAGTGGAAAAATTGTTTTTCAGTTTCTAGTGTGAATATTTTTCAAATTTAATATGAAATTTTTTAATTTATTTATATTTGTGATGCGTTTTGAAAAAAAAAAAATGATTTGAGAAATAGAAAATGAATAATCATTTTATTTAATAATTAATCTGTTAATAATTTAAAATTAATAATTATTACAATTTTAATAATTATAATATAATATTATAAATTCATACTATGAAATATGATAATATA